ATGCTCAGAGCCTGAGATGGTGTTCGTATGGTTACTGCAGTTACACGTGAGCCGAACAGAACACGCACATAGGCGCTCTATTGTCAACACGCACTGATAAAGACGTCCATTGAGGCAGATCTTGTGACACAATCACGAGCCAGAGAGGGAATGTCAGGATAATTGTATGGTGAGATGTGGAGTGAAAAACCCAGAAATCAAGGTCTTGAAGTATTTGTCTTTGTCTGATATGTTCTGGATTGGATTATGCAGTAGTTTGTGAGCCAATGTGAAATAAACATTGACCTTATTTACCTTATTTAATGTACATTCTTGTTCTTATTATGAACAATTCATCAGTGCATGTTATTCCAAATAGAAAAAGTGTTTGTCCAAGTGGTCAAAATGTCAAATTCCATCAAAATAACTTGCACTTATGCAATGACTTTGCTTATTGGCTGACGTTAGAAGAGCCTTCTTGTTTTGTAAGTCTCACCCCATGTTTTTTATTGTATTTAATACACCATTTTAGAGTTACAGTTCATTTCTGGCTAAAATATTACAAAACTTTTGTTTGTGAGATGTCCTTTAAAAAAAAAAATAATAATTACAGTGTACTGTTCAAAAGTTAGAGAGATAAGAGAGAAATTAATACTTTGATTCAGCTTTTAGAAGATTTCTAATAAATGCTGTGCTTCTCTATTTTTCTATTTATCAAATAATCCTAAAAGAATGTTTCACTGTTTCTACAAAAATATGATCCCTCCACCCCCTGATCCCTAAATCCACCCCTAACCCCCTGATCCCTAAACCCACCCCTAAGCCTACCCAACTCCACCGCCTGATGCCTAAACCCACCCCTAAACCTACCCACTCCACCCCCTGATCCCTAAACCCACCCCTAACTAGGGTTGGGTATCGTTTGAATTTGAACGATTCTGATTCCGATTCCGATTCCTTGTTTTGATTCCGGTTCCCAACGATTCTCGATTCCGATTCTTTTAAGAGGCAGGGTCAAAAAAGTTTAGCTAACCTTGCTAACCAACGGTCTTTCTGAAGGAAATACTCCTTCTGTCACAAATACTCCTTTTGTCACAAATTTTGCATTTTGCCGAGATTTCGTTATTTTTAGAAAAGTGAAGCCACACTTTGGACCGCCGACGTAAGCTACTCATGTTCGACTCGCGCGGTTATGCCAACACTTCCGGTAGACGCTTCTTCGTTGGTGTTGTTCAGCGGTTTCTTCTTCCGCTCGGCGGACTGTGAATATCGAAACTAGGAATCAAAATTTTAACTTTTGAACGATTCCGGGAAAAATTAAAAGTTAGTCCCGGTTCCAATCGATACTCGATTCTCGATACCCAACCCTAACCCTAACCCTACCTACTCCACCCCCTGATCCCTAAACCCACCCCTAATCCTACCCAACTCCACCCCTGATCCCTAAACCCACCCTTAAACCTGCCCAGCTCCACCCCCTGATCCCTAAACCCACCCCTAATCCTACCCAACTCCGCCCCCTGGATCTCATGTACTGCAATGAGATGATACTGGGAAAATGTGTAAAACATGTCTCAAGTCTTTTGGGTCCCACTTTCCACCCACTATTCAGGCAGGTACAGTGACATCCATTCACCTCTAGGTGTCGCTATTATGCTAATTTATGCATTCGCTAAAACTTCTGGAACCATTATGGCTTGAATAAAATACTTTTATTTTTTGCTTATACAACTGAGCCCTCTTCCAACCATCTGGCTTCATTCTTGTACGTAATGTTGCTTTTCACAATCCAATCAGTTCCTGATGGATAAAACACCCATTCTTTAAATATCCCATTTTTATCAGAAATACGTCAATATGAATTGCGACAATACGGTTCTCTCTTTCGTTGGTCACAGTTGGTGGACACACACACACATCAGCTTCAGATGAGCTCATCTACTCTTCTTGTTTTGACTCAAAATGGTGTGTCATGGAATATAGTTAGTCCGAGTGCAATCTAAACATCTCCACCTCTCAACAAGACACAAAAAACAAACAGACATCCGGTCAAACTGAGCCGTGGCAACAGGGATGAGAAATGTTTGCGAGCTTTTTGTTTCTGAATAACACGTTTCCCAGAGGGTATTATTGGGGAGAACTTCATATCCAGTGTCAGATGAATAATGTTTATGTTTGACTTCCATACAAACAGCTGATGAGACATTCCACAATCCGTTAATCCATAAGATCAACACTGGCCCATGGAATAATGACAGCATTTTCCATGAATGGATGTCCAGCCTTGCACAATCTGACCGGGAGGAATTTAGTCTTTGTATCAGTTTATGTGAATCCGTTTGTCTGACAGTTTCTGTAATGTGCTTTCAAAGGAGTAGTTCATCTAAAAATGAAGATTGTCATTGTTCAATCTCGCGCATGAAACTCTAAAGCCATACGACATTCGTTTATCTGTAAAGTACAAAAGGAAATGTTTTGGCGAATGTTCATGCTGCTCTCTTCCATAGTATGATGAAGGCATACTGGACCGGTGTTGGTACTATTACACATCATTTTTGTCAACGCATTCTCATCCCAAGGCGTCATCTAACTGACAATTTTGACCATGCTTCAACATCCGATACTTTAGGCACCCTTTAGCGTCAGTTACATGACTCGATTCTAGGGCGTCATCTATCTGACGCTTTACCTTTAGCGTCAGTTAGATGACGCGGGTAGGTTTAGGTCTGGGTTAGGGTTAGGGTTAGACGCGATCCTAGGGCGTCATCTAACTGATGCTAAAGGGTGCCTAAAGCGTCGGATATTGAAGCATGGTCAAAATGCTTCCCAAGGTGTCAGTTAGGTGTCTGTTTTTGTTGATCAAAATAAAGCTGAAAGAAAATTAAATATAGATACATAAGATGGAAAAACTTAAAAATTAGAAATGAAAAACGTTTAACTTGACTAAAACTGAAATAAAAATATAAATATAAAAAATATATATAAATATATACAAATGGCAAAAGCATAACAATACTCAAACTAAAAATATATATTATTAATTAAATATTAAATAATAAGTTTTAATAAATAATAAAATAGTATATAAAATATAATAAAATAACAATGACTGTGACATAATGCGGGTTTTATTACAATAATATTTTATTATACTATTCTGTGCTTTTTAATGGTCCATTTAAGAGCAGTATCATTAGATTTGTTTTGTGATTTTTAGATTATTAGTAAATCAATATTAGCTTGATTGATTTCGAGTCATTGATATTTAAATTGTTACGCTTCAAGGAATTAGTACAAAATCTTATCCAACCCTCACAAATGCCAATGAATAGTCTCATTTTTGATTTATTGTGGATAGTGGCATTTTAGTTGATTTTTCATTTATTAAGATCGTGGTGAACAGTATAGGCAAAAATTTTATTATTTATATTTGTGTATATGACACTGTATATGACAGTGCATTGGTTGCCCTGTCGACATGTTGGTTCACTAATGAAACAATATGACCCTTTTAAGCCATTCAAAGCAAATATCCCTATATAAAGACTGCGAATAATTGAATCATAAATAGCTGGGGGGATAATAGCCATGTCACCCAACCTTAATAACAACCCATTTAGTCAAATCCACAGTGTCTGCTAGCAGGAAGGCTCCTATGTAGAGGCATTGCTCAAGCATTTCCATCTGCTTTGTTTAGGCTGCCGTTTGTCCGTGTGCAGAAAGCGTGCTCATTTTCATACGGCTCCACGTGTCAACAGGAAACTCTGTGACCCTCACAAAGCACATTCTGTTCTAGTTTGCAAGATTGGCCCCTATGCAAAGCACAAACCCCTTTAGAAAAGGAAGGTACTTGGAGCTAAAGAGTTGAAGCTTCCAAGAAGATTGTTTTATTGCTCAAAAGTTGTGCAAAAATGTTTGCATGGAACAGGGTCATGCAATACCACCAGTGTGCCAAGTTATGTTCCCAGCGATTGGTTGAAATACTCAAACTGGAGGCCCGAACTGGGGGTGTGTGAAGACAAGATATCTGGGACTGATTTGAGTGTTAAAGCTTTAAAGCACAATACTTCAAAAGTCTGTAATATTAAAGGGGTGATAAACTGAGAAATCAAATTTTCCTTGAGCTTTTGAAGAGGTCATCATATTATAAGAATATCCTGTAAGTTTCAGAACTGAAAACGTCCGTGTTAGTCCAATAAAAGCTTTTATTGACACCAGGCTCAGCAAACGACTCGTTTTTCAAAGTGGGGAACTATGACGTCAAAGAGGATAAAACACCACCCCCGCAGAAGAAGATCAACGCCTACTTCAACACCGATTCGCGCATTACATAGCTACATAGCTTACATAGCCAAATAACATAGATGCCTACCTCGTGATGACAAGAGTGAAACTCATTATAATATACGAAACTGTTATCCACTCATAGCAGTGGGTGTTTACTTCCAAGTCTTCAGTGTGAGACGCCCATAAAAACCGAGCGTTTTTGAGCTAGGCTCAAAACTAGCGTAGAAAATTGCCTATTACTTATTCATTTTGATGTTTTAGACGGCAAAAACCCCTTTAAATGCAATATTAGTGTGTACTTACTTACTGCATACTTGATAGTATATAATGCAGATGTGGAACTGTATGCAGTGATGATAAGTCACCATGAAATCAAAAACTTGAAATGACAACCTGTTTAATGGATTACCTGTATTATGGCAGCATTTATTAATAATGATTTATCTGTGCACATGATTTAATGTGCCCTCGTAATCTTCCTCTTCCTTGTGTCTCAGAACACTGACTGTTTCTAAGAACTGTTGAAATTGACCATTTTCTAACAGCAGCTTTACCAAATGCCGATTGGCTCTTTTATTTTGAAGGCGGGACTTATTCCACCATATTGCGCATATTCTCCCATTCATAGTAATATGAGTGCATCCTGAAATAAATCTATTCATTCAAAGCTTATCAAGTGAGTTTTCAGCAGTAATCCAACTTACTAAATAATGTGTTTGTCTCTCTCTCGGCAGTGTTTCCTGCGTGGCGAGGGGCTGGTGAGGGTCATGGTTGGGGCTGGACTCAGTGTGTGAGGTGGGAGGCTGGGGAAGGGGGCCCGTCCCGGGGCCTGGAGTGTCCGCTGTGGTGTGTCCTGTGTCGAGGAGGACGGGAGAGACTGAAGCAGGCCTGTCAGAGAGGGAGAGGAGCACTACGCCTGCCCGCAGACATGCTGACCCTCAGACTTCCACAGCTCTTTGACATCCACCAGGTGCCAAAGGTGAGGACTGGACTGTTTGACATACAAAGGGAACGTTTGAAACAGTTGAATATTGTAGTTCGGAGAACAGGACTGTTTCAATTGCTCGCTTTAAAGGGTTAGTTCACCCAAAAATAAAAATTAAGTCATTAATTACTCACCCCCATGCTGTACCAACCCCGTAAGACCTTCGTTCGTCTTCGGAGCACAAATGAAGATATTTTTTTATTAAATTTGAGAGCCGAATCACTACCACATAGGCTCCTAAGGGAATGACACTTGACGGCCCAGAAAGTCAATAAAGAAAATGTTTAAATATCCCAAGTGACTACCGTGGCTCAACTATATGTTTATCAAGCGACGAGAATACTTTTTGTGCGAAAAAACAAACAAAAATAACGACTTTATTCGAATATTCCTTTTCTTCCTTGTTGGCCTGAAACGAGACTTCATTAGATTTCCACGACGCATGCGCGAGAACTGAACTGAAGTAGTTGAAGGAGATCGCAATTCTCGCGCATGCGTCGTGGAAATCTAAGGAAGTCTCGTTTCAGGCCAACAAGGAAGAAAAGGAATAGTCGAATAAAGTCGAATAAAGTCAAAAAGTATTCTCGTCGCTTGATAAACTTATAGTTGAGTCACTGTAGTCACATGCAATATTTAAACATTTTGTTCATTGACTTTCTGGGCTGTCAAGTGTCATTCCCTTAGGAGCCAATGTGGTAGTGATTCGGCTCTCAAATTTAATCAAAAATATCTTCATTTGTGCTCCGAAGACGAATGAAGGTCTTACGGGGTTGGTACAGCATGGGGGTGAGTAATTAATGACTTAATTTTCCTTTTTGGTTGAACTAACCCTTTAAGGGAAATCCCTGGGAAATCCTGCATGTGCTTAAAAGTTACAAGCCGAATAAGTGGGACTAAGTGGTGCAAGCCACCGTTTTCAGTTCTGCTTTAATCCTTCTTAAAGAAATTGTTTGACTTGCGAATGACTTGCATTCAGAATATTAAAGTGACCCTGTTATGCTTTTTCTAATATTACCTTTCATGTATAGTGTGTAATATAACTGTTTTTTAAATGTAAAGGTCTAAAAAGTTTCAAAGTTATTGTCTCCCAAAAGAAAGACCCAATTCTGTCTTCCAATTCCAGTCTTACTTGCTCAGATGATGTTAGAAGAACGACTTTTTCATGATTCTTTAGATGTTTGCATGTATTTTAGACGTCCGTGTGCATCTCTGCAGGTGTTTAGAGAGGACGGCATCATGTCCGGGTACCGCCATCCCCGCAGCTCAGCCCTCGACTGCATTCTCAGCAGTTTTCAAATGACCAATGAGACGGTCAATATCTGGACCCACTTCCTGCCGACCTGGTAAAGAGCCCAGTTAAACATGTAATCTCCTTTTAGTGCCAGAGCTAGTAGTTTGTTTCAGCTGCTTCATTATGCAATTATGATCTAGCTTATAAGCAGACACTTTTATGCAATATCAGATTTTACCGGGACTAAACTAAACCTTGAAAAGGATTATGTATTTGTCGGAGTGGGCAGTATGACCTAAATCTTGTTACAAGTAATATAATATATGGTATATATCACATTAGTGTTATTAGAGCAGGCTCTATTGTTATTATTATATTTATGATTAGCTATGTATTTATAGTTATATTTATATAGTCACATGATCCTTCAGAAATCATTCTAATAGGCTTGATTCTAATTAATCGTTGTTTTATTTGCAATGAAACATCACATATTGTGCAAACATACAAAGAACTTATGAAGTTTTTATTTTTTTCTATGCATTATTTTTGCATAGTAAAATAAAACCTATAATTTAGATTGCATTTTTTGCCAAGTAATTTTGTCACTGAAACTGTCTTTTGGACCTTGAACCGTTTGGTTCCCATTGAAGTGCATTATATGGAGAAAAATCCTGGAATGTTTTCATCAAAAACCTTAATTTCTTTTCGACTGGAGAAAGAATGACATGGATATCTTGGATGACATGACGAAGAGTAAATTATCAGCAAAAGTTTTTTTAAAAGTGAACTAATCCTTTAAGATTGGCATTTTGGTCGAATTTGATTTCTCATGTCATGACCCCTTTTATAACCAGGTTATCTGCTCTACTTTCCTGACACTAGACATAAATGCCCTGTGTAGGACCTGTGCTGTGCTATTATAGGTACTTCCTGTGGCGGTTCAGCATGCTGTGCTTTACTCTGGACTTCCTGACGGAGAGCTACTCCTGGCCGATGCTCGTCTACATGCTTCTGATCTGCCTGTACCCCTTCACCTCCAGCTGCGCTCACACCTTCAGCACCATGTCCACCAAGGCTCGTCACGTCTGCTACTTCTTCGACTACGGAGCGCTCAGCCTGTACAGTCTCGGTACGCGCAGGTTCTCCTGGCTGATTCTGTCCTGTATGTTTTGTAGTGTATTCGAAAATCTGGCCCTTTAGCTACTGTTCACCCTATTGGCCAGTAGATAGACATATTATCATCATAACATAGTGACCTTTCCCACCAACTATTTTCTATTTAAACATCATTGTTGAGCAAATAAGACTGGATTTAGTCTTGCATAGTCAGACTTTTGACTAACAAGATAACCTATGGTACTTTTTTGTAACATTCTTAACAAAAATGGTAAAAAAAATAAAAAAGTGGCCTACAAAAACACTTGAACAAAGACATTACTAGGATATTGGCTGTTTATTAGTGCTTATAAAGCACATATTAATGCTATATTCTGCATGGCCATACTCTACATCCCTTAATCCTATTCAAAACCTAAACATAACCACCACAAACTACTAATAAAGCTGTAAATAGGAGTTTATTAAGGCAAAAGTCACAGTCAATAGTTAGTTAATAATAGCCAGAATTGTACCCTAATCTAAAGTGTGACCTTATATGTGTATAGTTTGAATTTATTCTTATTAATTTTAATACTTTAATACATTTCAAAGTATTTATTTCAGTTAGTTGTCAACGCAATGTTTCTAATTATTGTTTAGGCTTTGTAAATTTTTATATGTAATATTTTATTTCAGCTTTATTTCAATTACCAAAAAAGATTTTTAATAGTTTTAGTCTTAGTTAACAATAACAACACTGCATTCCGGTACCTCAAACAATAGAGCATAGTGCTAGCAACATCAAGGTCATTTTTTTTTTTTTTTTCAGGGAATGCATGAACTGATAAAATGCATATCTTAAATGCAAAGTAAGTTGCTGCTAAATGCATAAATGTAAATCACAAAAATGTGCCAGAATGGCTGCTTGTCATCTGACAATATAGAAATCCCTATACTGGGCCAGTAAAAAGAAACACAATTCTGATGTAAAGCTGATGTCTTCACTACGGCCAGCTGTAGAAAGCAATTGGAGGGTTGATGTGAGGTTATGGAAAGCATGAGCTTTGGAGGAAATGAGCTGTCTAATACACTGCTGGCATTTTATTGTATGACTTCAAAGGAAAGAAAGCAAATGCTCCAGAGAAAACCTTTAAAGTCTGCATTGATAACGACAGAAGGGTGAGAAACTAGTAACTACACATATTGTTCGAGGCACTTCAGATGCGTGAAGAGAGTGCCAAATATAAGCGCAATTTTAATAGGCTCGGAAAACTTAACCTTACATAGAGCGAATGATTTATAAATGCAGTTTTTAAACATTTAACGCCTACTTTTCTTTATGATTATTATTTCAAGCGGAAATCTTTATTACACTATGTTTTAAAAAAAAAAGTATTTCCATTCATTTGACTTCGGCCATCATAATCTGTACTGAATGATGGTATGGTCAGCTGGTCAATATCCTGTGTGTAGAGCAGTGAGTCTTTCTTGTAAAGTCCCTTAGTCTAATAAAAATATTATCCTTTCATTTGTGGAATCCACCTCTGGTCATGTTTTCCAGTGGCGGCAGTGAAAGAGCTCTTTTGAGAAAAGCAGAGTAGCGGTATATGTTCTGCAGCAGAGAGCCAAACATTACAAAAGACACAAATTCAATAAAAAATGGTATTTAATACTATAACTACTGTGTTTGTGCAGTATATGCCATGCTATTTCACTTAAAACTCTATGTGAAACATTACGCAGTGTGCAACCGTAAACTTTTTAAACTGTAGGATGCACATATCCTCATCTCAGTGCTTTCTTGGAAATAACGGTTCGTTTACATTAAGTTTTTTAATAGTGTTTATGCAATTTATCCAGGTAAATATGGGGAAAATTCACATAATGTGCGTAGTATGCATACTACATACTTTAGAAATAATTGAAGTACTTTGGCTATGTGCTATTTCAAACATATCCGTACCTGCACAAAAAATATTCATATTAAATAATTTGATCGCAAATGACACTTTTGTTTGATATTTTGTTAAATAACACAATAACATTGCCCTTTTTGTCTCCAAATACAGAAATTTGCTATGTATATATTGTAGGGATGCACAGTAGGGATGCACGATATATCGACCAGCATATCGGTATCGGCCGATATATGTTCATTTTTAATGTTATCGTTATCGGCCTGGTAAGAAAATGAGGCCGATATATTAAAACCGATAAATAATGTATTATTCCCTTCAGCTGAGACACTTGTTGAGCACTGTTTATGTTTTTGAGTTTCTTGAAATATGATTGAAATCTCTTCAAAAAATAAAAATCTGGTTCGGGACAACATGTGCAACGCAAATCTGTCATATCGGCTATACAACACTATAATGAGAACATCATTATAATTGTGCACTTGGGATGTGGATTTAATTGTGAGACTTTTGTTTTTGTAATCAGGCTCTCAAAATTAGATAAAAATTTGGATTTAAGTTTATCGGCCGATATATCGGTTATCGGATTTCATGTATAAAGAATTATCGGTATCGGCCAACATTTTCATATCGGTGCATCCCTAATGCACAGATATGAAAATTTTGGCCGATACGATAATTCTTTATATTTGAAATCCGATAACCGATATATCGGCCGATAAATCTAAATCCAAATTTGCATATATTTTTGAGAGCCTGATTACAAAAACAAAAGTCTCATCATTATAATCCATGTCCCAAACACACGATTATAATGTTCCCATTGAATGTATTTTCACTGTATTTTCCTTTTTTTGCAGTGATTCCAATCATATCTCAGTAATTCAGAATCATCTTGTTGAACAGTGCGCATCTGAAGCGTTTCAGCTGAAGGAAATAATACATTATTTATTGACTTTAATATATCAACCAAATTTCCTTATCGGGCCGATAATGATAACATTAGAAATGATCATTTATCGGCCGATACCGATATATCCTGCATCACTAATATATAGACTATACATTTAAAATGTCTGTATTTGGAGACAAAAAGAAATGTCAATGTTATTGTGTTGGTATAATTTCTTTGTTTAAATCTCAATCTGTTAACAAGTCTTATTTAAACAAGATTCATAGTTAACTAACCAATAGTTCTGTTCTTAAAGCTGAAAACTATATCCAAATGAAAGCATGCATTAATGTCTTTTTGTTATATATACTGTGTCATACATGTGTCTACTCTTACAGGTTGTGCCATCACATACTCCTCTTACGTGATGCCCGACTCCTGGGTCAACAGTTGGCTTCACCAGCATTTTGTGACCATTGCAGTCTGCAACTCGCTCTTTTGTACCAGCATGTCCTGCTACTCCAGGTGAGGGTGGTTCTGGGTAACCAGACTCAGAATAATAGGGAGTTTGTTATGTAACTTAAGTCCTTCTCACACACAGACCTTTGTTTGTTCTGATGTTGCACAAAAGGTTTCAGTCATTTTAATAAATTATTTACAGAAGAACTTAACCTGTTGTTGAATTCAGTGAATTAATTAGTTTCGCTTAGTTAAGCACCACTATCTCTCATATATAAGATTGAAGTTTGGCACATAATTTTTCACGCTCTGATACTTCAAATCGTGCAGGTTTTTGAGAAGGGTGTGTGATTTACTTTTCTAAATGAGCGAATGTTTGATTTATTTTTGGAGGATGATGAAAGGGAGCCATATTTACAGAAAAGTAATTTATATTTAAAACTACAAAGCATTTAACTATGAATATAAACGTTTAGTCTACAAGGAACACAGTAGTATGATAAAATACATTTTTCAAACATATCCATACATCCAATGAAATTAGTTCAAAAAATCATTGAAATTCAAAGCCTCAAACATCATTTGATTGCATATGCCACTTTTCTTTATTTTGTTAAATATCTAGAGACAGGTTAGGCTTGTTTTGGATTGCACCATTAATCAACCATTTAACACCCATTAACCATTAGCAACACCCTAGCAACCATATAAAAACACCCTGACAACCGCACACATAAAACTTGCATTGTGGTGGAAACTTTTGCATGCTCAAGCACCACTCTTCATAAAATAAAAAAATACCTGGGTAAATAGGCCTGTTCTTGTTTAATATTATATTATATTTAGTGCTGTCAAATCGATTAATCATGATTAATTGCATCTAACATATATATATATATATGAAAAGTTCAGATGCAAAAGCCTCTAAATGCCATTTGAAATTTTCTTCTTTAATGATGATTTTTTATCAAACTTGTATATTTAAGTTCAGTAATTTCACTTAAATAACAGTTAATAGGTAATCTTCATTGCCATTTAAGTGAAATCACTGAACTTAAATATACAAGCTTGATAAAAATCATCATTCTAGAAGAAAATTTCAAATGGCACTTGAAGGCTTTTGCATCTGAACTCTTCATATATATATACAAACTTTTATATTAGACACAATTAAACACGATTACTCAATTTGACAGCACTTTATATTATATTATGTTTTTATATTTTTTATATTATTTTTGTAGTCAACAATTTTATCTCTAGTCAATAACGTATCATCTTTGATCACCAAAATAACACATTTAATAGTTTTTTCCTTAAAATAAAATTCTTCATGCCTTAAAATAGCTTAAATATAACTTGTCCATAATTTAGTATACGTGGTTCTATGAATATGCAAATTAGCCCCGCCTCCACGCACTCACACCAGTTCATAGATCCACTCGTTGTCTTTGTTTCACTGCAGTTTTAAAGAGAAAATACTCAGCAATGGTGTTGACTTATGAACTTACACATGGTTTGTCTTAAAGCATTTTAAAAACACCACATTAAAAGCTTGATTTTCATCACAGGGCTACTTTAAAGCTAAAAAGCATTTAACTACGAACATAATACATTTTAAATGAGGGTGCGTTTTCCTCTGTCTTTTGTAACAGGTTTGTCGAGTTGCAGTACCCACACATCAGTAAAATCTTGAGAACGGCCGCATTCGTTGTCCCCTTCCTCTTTGATAGCGTCCCACTGTTTTACCGAGTAAGTATAGTCACACTTGATTCCACATGTAAATCATGCCTGCGTAACACCAGATATGGATGGTCTCTCTTTCTGTGTGTGTCTATAGCTGCTGTCGTGCTGTTGGGGGAGCTGTAGTCCCAGTGAAGCTCTGGCCTGCCACTCTTACCATCTGTTCTTTGCGTTTCTCACATGCTTCCTGTTTGCATCTCACCTGCCCGAGAGACTGGCCCCTGGACGCTTCGACTACATCGGTACCTCATTTTTAGCCATTTACGCTTGGTTTTTAATGGTTATAGAGGTTCTTTTGACTAGTTTTTCACTCACTCTCCTCCAAGGTCACAGTCACCAGCTCTTTCACATATGTGCGGTCGTGGGCACCCATTTCCAGATGGAGGCAGTGTTGACGGACATGTCGTCTCGCAAAGAGTGGCTGATGTCCCACTCCGCTTCACCTTCCTTCCTAGGTACTTTGGGGGCTCTCGCACTGGGTGTCCTGCTCAACCTGGGCATCATCGGCATCTTTAGCGTGGGTTTACCGCGAACACCTCACCAAAGCACTTCGGCCTCTTGTGGTGCCCACCCTCATCAGGAGTAACAAGCTTTCTTGACCACTCCACACCTCACTGTGCACCTTTCTGGACGATGTCACTCTAGATTTCACTAGCGCACTTTCACTGATATAAAAGCCTCTAGCGTTGATACTTTTGTACTAAAAAGCTAAGCGTTTATTCGATTCGAGATCATATATTCTAGTTTCCCTTTATACTTACAGCCGAAAACCCTAATGATAATCGCGACCTTTCATGGAGTTATTTAACCGTTGTGCCTTTGATTTTTATTCTTGAAAGGTTGAGGGTTGAATGACGCTAAAGTGGATAATATAGTTTAAGGGTTTTTATAAACATTTGCATCATTACATAATAATGTTATCATAGCTTTAACTGGAAAATGATAGTAGCATTAATCAGGGATTTTATATTTGCATTAATAACATCATTAATCCAATTGTATGATGTGTGTGCATATCAAAATATACAATGGTGAAAACTGGCGTGTCCCCTTTAAATACTTGTGTTTGTAATATCCCTTATTATCAATGGCTAATTATTTGGATTTACTGGAACGCCTTTGAATGATCACAGGTACAGTAACATTAATCATGTTTGGGCTATATGTCTAAAAACACACTTTCATATCTTGAATGATAATGTGTATTGTGCATCACTCTCCTACTAAACTGCATCTCATGAGAATACGGGGCTGCACTGGAGTCCGTCACTGTAGTTTCGATGTCGCTTTACTTTAGTTATGTGTCCGTATCTGCATCAGGTCACATTTCTGTGGTATTGTTTTGTTCATTGCAGGTTTATGGCATACAATACAGTGTGTTTTATATTGAAGCACGAGGCTTTTGGTTTTATATTTAATTGCATTTTGTCAGTGCACTTGTCGATTTTTAATTTTTTTTTTATTCCGGTGCAATGTAGTGCGTATCTCTATATAGTTTCTTTGCTCATGTTTTGTTCTTAAACCAGAAATCAAAGCTAATCATTGTGTTTGCCCAAGCTGTTAACCTTCATCTCTCATTTTGTCCTTCGGTCACTTGTTTTGTCTGACTGAACAGTGCAGGACAGGTACGAACTGCAGGCTTGTTGTAATTTAGTGCAATTAATGCTGCATAAAGGCACCTTTTCTAACAGCTCTTAAGGTCAGTCACATGGTGGTAATGATATTTAATGGTAGTTTATGAAAGGGATCTTGGTTTAAAAAGGAAAAGTAGGTGTTTCAGTGGTTAGTGGCGGAAAGGTTCTGCATTTCTCCAAATGCCTATTTGTTGTTGGACAGCAGAAATTCTCGCTCACTGTGTGTTTTTTCATCAGCTCCAGCCCTGACGGAGTCTGTTCTTCTGCTATAAGAGGTTTAGATGTGACTGGTGACAGTAGTATTTTGTGCACTAGAGTTAAATGAAGCGTAAAAGGTTTTGGCATCCCAATCCCTGATGTGTGTTTGATGGCCTAAATGAATGTATTGCAGTTTTGGAAACTGTGTCTTTAAAGACCCTTTTAATGTTACAATGTAGCATTTAAAATTGCCAAGGAAATTCAAATTAGAAATAGTAATTTAATTTTTTTATGTTCCAGATATGTTGTATTTTTTTTTTTTTTTTACTATAATGCTTCCCTTTAAATCTGAGAATTAAAATATGCGACCATTATTGCAATGCCTTTTATTTTCCATTGTAATTTTTGAAATATTTTTGTAACAAATGTGAAAAATATGCTTAGAATTAAACTGACCCATTGTTTCACTACAGTGTTTGTCCAGTGATATCATTGAATTCAGAGCGATTACACAAATAGCATTATTGGCTTACCACAAAACTGTAGGAGCCAATTCTATTCTTGTAATTCTGTAACTGATGTTTTTTATAGAGTATATGCTTGCAGTATGATATCAGTCCACTTCCAATACTCTGCCTATACAATATTAAGAGGTTTAAAAAAACTACTTATAGTTTTTATTACCCCATATGAATAGCTATTAGCCTAATTATTGTAGCAAGGCAAGATGTTTGAAGGCGGGAAGGTGCCGCGTTGCATTCTGGGACGTGGCGACCATGTTGGCAGCTTCGCAAATAACACACCAGCAAGTGAACGAGGAGAAGCAGCTGAGTTGGCAGAAAGAAAATAAAAAAAGGTGTTAAACTCCCTAAAAGGATGCGGAATTTACCGGGATACGTTTAATATGGAAACCAAGGACCGGCATGTGGATAAAACGGCGCTTTTAACGGGTCGGCTCCATTTGAAATCTCCAACAAAAAGTGGGAACTACGTTACGCTAACTTAATCCGGACAAAGGTAAACTGCACTCCACCTAGCTGCTAGTTTAGTAAAAGTTATAGTGCTATCAATCATTCACACATGTAACATACTTTTAACTATGTGTTTCAAAAGTGTAGTTAGTAACGTTAGCTGTTTTAAGCAGTTAGAAAGCTAAATGATGCTTAAAGCAAGAGGGTAGTAACAGACACTGACAGGTCCGATTAAATGGCTAATGTTAAAATAATATTAAAATACGGGATATTTTACAGGGAAATACTAAAACGGGAAGGCAGTGGGAAAAGAACTCAAGTACGTGAGCAACCCGGAAAAAAATGTGAGGGTTGACGGCTAACGTTAGGATTAGCTACTGTGTTCTCACTGTTTGCCGACATTTCATATGGATCCAAACCGTTAAAAGTGCCGGTTTAGTCCACATATTGGTCACTGGCTTCCCTATTTAACATATCCTAGTAAATTCCACAACCTTTTAGGGATTTTAATATCTTTTTTTCGTTTCTTTATCCCAACTCTGCTGCTTCTCCTTGTTCGACTTGCTGTATGTTTACATGCGCGAAGCTGCCAACATGGCCCCCACGCCAGTAATGACGTCACGGCGCCCAAGTCTTTCCCTCAAAAAAAAAAAGGCTGATGAGAGTCAAATTCAAATTATATAATCAATTCAAATTATAAAAAACATTGTTGTGTATCTCTCTGTAACGTTACTTCCGAGGCTCTTCCCACCGGAGCCTCGCTTTCGATTTCAAAATGGCAGCTGCGTGAAATTAGCGTATTGTATGACTTCAGAAGGCTTAGAATATTATATAGATTTTTTTTTTTATGATAATAATGATTATTGAATAGGTTTTTCTGTTTGAAGCTTGACAACTGTCACTGTCCACATATGTGTAAAAATCTGTTTGAACATTTCTCTTTTATATCTAAAAATAACGATGTGAAGGGGTGTAAATAGTAACAGAATTTTAATTTCGTTTGAACTGTCTCTTTAATTGTGCATCACAAGTCATTTTAGTGAGGCAGGGATACACAGACTGCCTGGAAAAGGGGTGAAATGGAATAGTGGTCCAGACATAAATGACCCGTGAGAATTGAGTTTAGGCACCGCAGAGGCAGCGATACCATTACCCAGAATGCATTACAGTTCTCTAGAGTCTGAGCTGAGGCAAAATAAATGTGTGGAAGCGATAGGCCTAGGTTTCCCCCCCTTCATACAGATGTACTGTGATAAGTGTTTGGCTTTCTTACAAAACCACCCAGATATTTGTTCAGCACAGCATTCGTGAATAGCTGACGTGTTGTCAAATGTTTACAGATTTAATTGAATGAAACCATTGCCCCTTTCAGGCTATGGTACAGTATGTCCGTGGACGTATCTGTGTTGTAATCTGCATTAGTACTGAGGTTTCAACTTCACCTCCATCTGTCACCTTCTTCCAGCATCTCTTCTGTCCATCTGTTGGTTTCTGTAAAGATCCTCTTTATATCTCATCACCTCTGCCATGTTATTTGCGCTCTCAATTATCTCACAAAATCAGAACTTTTATACAAAGGATTAATGTTACAAATTTGGGTAACACTTTTACAACAAGGTATCATTTGTTAACATAAGTTCATGCATTAGACTAGCTAGCTAGCATGAACTAACAATGAACAATAGATTTTTTAAAGCATTTATTCATCTTTGTTAGTAAAAATTAGTGAAACTTTATTAAAAATTGAGTTGTTCATGTTAGTTTACATGCAAAAAAAAAAAACGTATAAATAAATGTTTATTTTTCATTGGTAATTCATGTTAATATATAGTTAACAAATAAAACCTTATTGTAAAACCCAATTGATTTAATAAGCAACCTAAAATAGAGCAGAATCTCACATTTCTTTATTTTACATCATAACATTTCTTGGTTTTATAATTTAAACAAATTATTCAGTTCATTTCCAGAACTGAATGAGATGTTGAATGTAAAATAAGCGTCAAATGTAAAATAAGTTTTACATAAAAACAATAGAAGTCTATGTTTGCGGACAGATATGGCTAGTATCGACTAAATTTGCATTTGTATGAATAAAGAGAGCCTAATGTGAAAATCATGCTGCAATAATGTGAGATAAATAATGCGATTGACATATTAGAATAAAATCGAGTTTAATACAGCTACTGTACATTGTCCATCAACAAGTCAAAAACAAAGTCTATCCAAATTGTCACATGTATATATTTGTACAATGAAACAAATGATGGTATGTCTGACAGATGCTGATGCTCTCTGACTGTTATTGATGTTAAAGGAATATTTATCTTGACTTTCATCCTTTGAAAATGTTCTGTATTCTGATTAATAACCAGGCATTGAAGTATAGACTTGTATTTGTGAAATATTTTAAAACACTAGGTAAGATTAGGTTTAATAAAAATAGAAAATCAATAAAAGTAAATAATGTAATTCAGTCACTAGATTATGTACAAGAGGCACAGCCAGTGAGTAAAAAAGATGCACCTAATAATAAAATGGTAAACAGCGACCACTGTAGATAAACATGCTGTATGATAAATTAATATTTGATTGATTGATTGATCTATGCCCTTGCACCATAATCATGCTCGGATTCTGGCTGTGTTTGGAATTGCATACTAGCATACAGCTCTTATGGTGTCTGCAGCTTGTGATTCAATAGATGTTAGTCACATGGCATTACAGCTCAAAATACAAGGCCATGACTGACGGCACATGAGCGAAGATGCATGTCGTGTACTTCCAGGCCTGCATGCTCTGGCTGAGCCATAGAGATGAATGAAAATGCTCATGGAAAGCAGGTGTTATAGTTATTATAACACAAAATGTTATAAAAAAAAAAAATAATAATTAAGGCAAGATACTACAGACAATATCAGTATTTTTCCAAGCTCTGGTCAATTTCAACACAACCTCATGGCGATTCGTAACTATTTTATGTTTTGGTGAATTGGTGGCTAATTTGTATGAATTGGTACAATCTCATTTGTATGTTTTCGTATGATCTGCTGACGCCACAGTGGCGCTTGGGTTTATGGGTAGGGTTAAGGGAGATGAAAATCATACATTTTCGTATGCTTCACATTGTACAAAATCACCACTTTGTACAATAGTTACGTTTCCCTGTGAGATTGGGTTTCCAGTTAAGATTTTGGGCTATTTTTCCTCTCATAAGTGTAAAGAAAACATTAAAAAAATTACATTTAAGTGTTTATTTTTATTATACTTTATCTATTTTTAGATTTCAATTACAAATACATCTCTTTACTGCAAACTCCACTTGAGTTGCGCTACATCCACCAAACTTTGCAGTTTTATTCCTATCAATAGTCTGAATGATTTTTACAAATGATTTGTTCATATAATTTCATTATATGACTTTTTTTTCTAGCTGTTGACAGTATTATCGGATTTATTAAGTTATTTAAAAGATATCCCTTCTGTAAAAACCTTTAATTCAAATCAACAAAATGAAACAATTTTGAACTTGGCTTTATCAAATGTTCTTATTTCTGTTTTGGAAAGCATAACATTTCATAAAACTGGTGATGCAAAACAATTGTCTTTTGGGTATGTTTACCTGACAATGTACAAAAAACTGAAATGTTTTTCCTTTGCTTTTTCCCTTATACAGACGACAACGTTGTCAAAACAATCCCGTTAACACGGATTCACGAAAATGATTAAAAAAAACGGTGTATTCTGCTGCCAGGCCAGTAGTTGGCGATGTCACTGTGTAAGAAACACTATACCCCTATAGACCATTTCACAAGATGTAAACAACACCGGTCCAGAAGCACTTCCTGTTTCATTTTTTTAGCACTACATAAAAGCTGGGATAAAATACAACCAACAGAACATGTAAAACTGAATCAAAAAGTTAAATAACATCTTTAAGATGTTTTCTTTACATGTGAAATAAAGAAAACAGCTACAAACTGAAACAGGAAGTGCTTCTGGACCAGTGTTGTTTACATCTTGTGAAATGGTCTATAGAATGCGTGTGCACATGATGTCACCGTTCACAAATTCACGATTTTGTAGTTTACGCTGACTGTATCATTTTCAAAAACCTTGAAAACGTGAAAGCTTGCGTTTTCAGGCCGCCAAAATGCTACTGTCGTGTAAATGAACGGAAAACAACATATTTTTTTATTATTTTATATTTTTTACAACATATTTTTTATAGTTCCGCTTTTAGTAGAAAACGATGTCATGTAAACGGCCCCTTAATAAACTAGGGAAAGAATTAGATATCTATTGTTTACAATGATCATATTCACCTGTAGTGTCTTGCCGAAAGCATGCGATTAATGTGACAAACTATTGTTTGAAAATTTTACAGTTCCATAAAACATACTGTTTCGGATAAAAAAAATAGTATGCAGTATGTCCGTACACAGCCTTGTGTGTTTCCACTGTTGTTGTGTAGTTGCTGGCCTTGCTGATGCTTCTGATGTAGGAAATAAAGCAGAACTCCCGAGCCATAACAGGAAGTTGCTGTTAAACATTGAGAGATGTACAATACATGCATGTGAAGATCACGCATAACATGTTGATGTAATATATTCATAATCGCAAGACATTGAAAAGAAATGCAGTCAGCTTGGCACAACGTGGAAATCAACTAAAGAGTCTTTGTTTTGGGGGCACATTATTTAGAAACTGCACATGATGGTTAAAGGTGAAGTATGTAATGTATGTGCCATTGAAGCAGCAAATGCTAAAATAATACCTGGAGTTATATTACAGAAACTTCCTATCTTTATTCTTGACTTAAGATTTTAAAACATTGTGTTTACCAAGTCAAGGCCTGTTCACACCGGGACGAATTTTGCACGCAATATTCGCCGACGTTTAACGCCTCATGACTAAACAATGGGCGCTAATGTGATTGTGCACACCGACGTGGAAAACGCCACGCGTAAAAGCTTCATTTTTTTTTAAAAACGCCTCGGGTTAGTTTTTGTTATTTTAACGCGCCGCGTCAAAAACTATCCGACCAATGAGATTGCCGCTTTTGCACGGGTGTTTGGAGCTTCTGAAGTTACAGTAAAACACAACTTGGGGGCGCTCAAACACAAAACGGTCTTGCCGAGCACGCATACGTAACGGAGAAGAAGATCTTCGCCAAGTGGCGTCGCTGTCTACACCTGTCTATGGTCCACACCAGACATCATGGTCTACACTGCCAGGAAGAAATAAGACGAGGAAGATGCGAGGCAAGATGAATGTAGAGCTGCTGTTCTCGTTGGTGTTAGAACATAAAGAACTATGTGACAAACGCAACTGCGACTAGTCGACTACAAAACATCTTGATGAAAGAGAAGTGATAAGTGGTTTTGCAGAGCAAATGGGCGCCATCTAATGTCAGGGAATGAATTTGCACGTTCACTCGGCTCATCGTCCGCGAAAATCACTTGGGTGTGAGCACAAAAAAACACGTTGAATAACGCTGACGAATAATGCGCGCTGATATTCGTCCCGGTGTGTACGGGCCTTCAGAATATTTCTGTAATACAGGCCCTGGTTTTCACTTTACACGTCTCCCATTGGTCAGACAAAACAGTAAGTCCCTCACCCAAAATCACGCGATTGGTTAAGGAACTGTTGTTGGGTCAGACTGGGCGGAATGCTCAAATAAACAGAGCAACCCTTTTTACATTTATTGAGGAAATAAGCCTTAAAATGTCTCTGAATATTAATCTGAAAATGACACACTTCACCTTTAATGAACTTTAATTACAAGACCTTGACAACAGTATCCCTATATAGAAAATCTAGTGTCTCTTCAGGGTTGAGTCATGAAGATCCATGAGCAATTTCCATTAATGCATCTTCAAAGTATCCACTGTCCATTTACTCAAATTTAAACACATGGACACAATCGTACATGTTTGGTGGATTAAACGTTTACATCACCAAATGTTCTTGCACATCTGAGACAGTTTGTGAATTCTGCCTGTCCTCAACCCACCGTTGACTTTCCTCCTCAGCCCAAACAACCAGCCGTCAGAAGCATGTCTTCTCCGTGTGCTGCTACTCCAGGATGTCCAGGTAGACCGGCGGGCTCTTGACGAGGGCCACGAGGCGGTTGTAGATGTCCTTGATGACGAGCCTCTGCTGGGGTTCTCTCTGCCAGCAGCCCTGCATGAGGAGGTGCACTTCCTTTGGGCAGGTACGTGGCCGTTCAAGCTCTCGTCCCTGCGTGATGCACTCAATGGCCTGGAGAGAGGGCAAATATTTCATATTTTTTCAATGAGATCAAAGATGGTTATAGTCGCATTTTAATCTGCAGGGTATTATCCAATATTTTTAGTATTTAATGTATTATGCCTATAATCAAAGTCCTTTTAGGCTAGTCATGCCACTCGGCCGCCATCTTGGCAACGCCTCCGGGCGGCTATTTCAGACTAACAAGACCAGGCTCCTATCTAAATGAATGGGCAGAGAGTCAGAACTGCACTTCCACTGGTCACCGGGACATAAAAATTGCATGTATGTATAGAAACAGCAGTAAAATATGAGAAAAATCACTGAAAAAGTTTGATAACTTATCAAATAAGGTTTAAAACGCCCTTTTCCCCACAGGTTATACGTTTACATGCGCAAGGGTTCTCGTCTCCACTGTCGTAGACATCAACTGTGCGCATGCGTCAGTGGAACCAGACGATAGGCTTGAATGTTTCCCAGCTTGACTGTTAAAAGCAGACGATTGGCTTTCCAACGGGAGGGGCGGGGCATGTGCATACAACCGCCATCTTTGACGTTAACATTATTATAACATTAATATTGTAATTATCAATAATTAAAAAAAATGTATATATGTCACTAAAATATTACAATTATAATTGAATAATTATTTATATGTATTATTATTATATTTGCATTACCAGAGAAAAGAGATTTATAATATAAATGTTATTATTATGTATTTAATGACCCCTTTAAAAGCACACACACCCACACACACATAGCATACATTTATATATAATTATGAAAAACTGTAATTATAATATTTTTTTAATTTTGTTAATTATTTTATTATTTCCTGAGGTCACCCATAGAAGTTCATAGAAGTCTTCACAAAAAAAAAAAACATTTATAGTAATAACTATTTTCTACCTTTTGATTTAAACTTGTCTTTTTCGCAGCTTTACCTTTAAAATTCCAACATAAACATCGTCTTTATATATAGAATAGAGATTGTTGACATGTAAATGTGGGCAGTCATGTAAAAACGTATTCAGGTGTTCAGAACGGCCCGTTTCTGTGGCTTTGTGTCAATAATGCTCTTATTTAGTGTGGAGGAATTTTTCAGTTCTAATAGCTACAGTATGTGTTCGTAGTACATTATGTACACATGTATTTCAATGAAAAGAAATCAAAGAAAATTTTATTTCTCATGATATGACCCCTTTTTACTCTATTTTCTACAGGCAGCAGCTGTAAAATCACTTTCTTTTCTCCATGGCTATTCCTGGTGGCTATTTAAAACGCCAATGACTTCAAGCCCTTATAGCATTGCCTCTTAATCAAATGAGGTGAAGAGACTGTCAGCACCACACAACATCACTCTGAAATGGGCTTTCAATCACTGCAATAAATTAACAAAAATTCACATTGACCCCTCTGAAAGTCTGGCACCCTCTTTCCTCGCAGATGGAAAGTCACCAACGATCCGTCTCTGTCCCGTATAATTAGGCTCCTGATAATTAGCTGTGTCCATCATGGCTCGGGAAGGATTAGGTTAACGAGGTTAAACAACGTCGGCCCAAGGCGAAGATGAGGTTTAATCGGATTAAAATCGAGTCGGCGGGAAAGTGATCTACCTCTCTGTTGAAAGAAGAGAGGCTTCTCCAGTGTAATAGTGCAGTTGTGGTCACACCAGAGTCCACTTTTTGGTGCCTAATCTGAAAGGTATGGATCACTCTGGAACCGAAAAAAATCTATTGATCTTCTCGTTCATAAGTGCTTAAGAGCACAGTCTGGTCCAGTCCAAAATGGATGTTCACATCCCGATGAAGGTTGGGAGAAGCTCTGTCCGTTTGCTTTGACCAGCACTGATGCCATCAGACAGCCTAAATCACTTCTGTCATCGCAGGTAAACATTACAGGAGTCATTTACTGCCACATGAAGGTCTTGACTGTCACTTTTGGTCAATTTAATGCATCCGTATTGCACACAACTATCAAATTCGCGAAAAGAACAAACTTACTGAACATAAAATATGCAAAATAGTATTGTTTACTATTTTTATCCTTAAAAATACCAAGAATCATTAATCGGAACCACTATTGTTACATTTCTGTACACTTGAGCGGAACAATTTGAGGCGAAATGATGACAGAATTGTAATTTTTAGGTAAAATTTCCTTTCAAATCTTTTTTTTTTGTCTTTGTATTATTTAAACGCTCAACAACGAATACGTTTGACATTTAAATGGGTACAATTATGCAGCCATAAACGGTTGACATTAAATGTGGCACTGTACCTCACTGTTGGATAGCTGATACCACGGTTGTTTGCCGTAGGTGAAGATTTCCCAAAGGACCACTCCAAAGCTCCAGATGTCACTCTCCGTGGTGAACTTCCTGTACATGATGCTTTCTGGCGGCATCCAGCGAATGGGCAACATCGTCCTCCCACCGACCTGAGGACGCGAACAAATTACAATCAAACATCTAACATCTGGTAAATATACAAAAACATAAAAGGAAAGAGCAAAATCCCAATCTCTTTAGACTCTCAAATGTTTTTCCGGTTTGTGTCAAAAATGTTTCTCAAACGTCTATAATTTGTCAAATTGTAATCAAATTTGCACATATAGCCTACCAAAGGTAGAGATCTCAATATGAACATACTGTGGATATTTCCCACCAATGATCTGTGAGTTTTTATAGTTTTTGGTCATTGATATTGCAATGAAACGTTTTACCCTGTAGTAATCAGTGCTGTAAATGTCTCTCGACATCCCGAAGTCCCCGATCTTCACCACCAGCCCTTCTCCAACCAAACAGTTCCTGGTGGCCAGATCTCTGTGGACAAAATGAAGGGAAGCGAGGTACACCATGCCCGAGGCGATCTGAGCTGCGATGTGGAGCATCTGAGGAAGAGTCAGCTGACCCATCAGAGGAACCTTCATCTCGTCCAAGATACGAGCATCTGGACCGTGAGCCCTGTACACACACGACACACACATTATATAACAGCTGCCTAAAAACAATAACCTGAGAAAAGAGATTTCGGATGTGTTTTATGTTATGTGAATTTTCTACATGCATCGATTGCCCTCCTAAATTGTTCTAGGTGTTTAGCTAGGGTTGGGTATCGAGAATCGAGTATCGATTGTTACCGGTGTTCTGTCGATTTTTGCTGCCTTGTCGTATGAAATACAATTCTAATACAATTCTAAGTTATGAGTAGCTACTGTATACTGTAGACTACTGTTTTTATTTTTAAAACGGTGTGAAAAGTAAAAATTATCATAAAATATTCATCTTTGACTTGTCAAAGTACACCTTTTCTAACTGAAACTTTCAGTTATTCCTTTTCAGCTGGCTGACCGTACAAATATTCATATGGTAGTAAGCATTTTTTAAAGGGAAATTATACATTATAACAAGAAAATGTACCTTTTGTAAAAAAAATAAAAAAAATAAATAAAAAAAAACTGTGAGTCTGCACTAGGGTTGGGTATCGTTTGAATTTGAACGATTCTGATTCCGATTCCGATTCCTTGTTTCGATTCCGGTTTCTAACGATTCTCGATTCCGATTCTTTTAAGAGGCAGGGTCAAAAAAGTTTAGCTAACATTGCTAACCAATGGCCTTTCTGAAGGAAATAATCCTTTCTGAAGGAAATACTCCTTCTGTAAAAATACTCCTTTTGTTGATTTCGTTATTTTTAGAAAAGTGAAGCCACACTTTGGATCGCCGACGTAAGCTACTCATGTTCGACTCGCGCAGTTATGCCAACACTTCCGGTAGACGCTTCTTCGTTGGTGTTGTTCAGCGGTTTCTTCTTCCGCTCGGCGGACTGTGAATATCAAAACTAGGAATCGAAATTTTAACTTTTGAACGATTCCGGGAAAAACGAAAAGTTAGTCTCGGTTCCAATCGATACTCGATTCTCGATACCCAACCCTAGTCTGCACATGCGCATAACCGGTAAGTAGGAAATCTCGATGGGTCGCATGAATTGTCAGAACACCGGGACTAACTTTTCGTTTTTCCCGGAATCGTTCAAAAGTTAAAATTTCGATTCCTAGTTTCGATATTCACAGTCCGCAGAGCGGAAGAAGAAACCGCTGAACAACACCAACGAAGAAGCGTCTAACGGAAGTGTTGGCATAACCACGCTGGTCGAACATGAGTAGCTTACGTCGGCGGTCCAAAGTGCGGCTTCACTTTTCTAAATATAACGAAATCTCGGCAAAATGCAAAATTTGTGACGAAAGGAGTATTTGTGACAGAAGGAGTATTTCCTTCAGAAAGGATTATTTCCTTCCGAAAGACCGTTGGTTAGCAAGGTTAGCTAAACTTTTTTGACCCTGCCTCTTAAAAGAATCGGAATCGAGAATCGTTAGGAACCGGAATCGAAACAAGGAATCGGAATCAGAATCGTTCAAATTCAAACGATACCCAACCCTATGTTTAGTATTTAAAAAGCACACTACACTCTCCAAAATGGTGTTTTTGCAGTGATGCCATTGAAGAACCATTTTTGGTTCCAGAAAGAACCTTTCAGTGAGCGGTTCTCGGTGTGAAGAACCTTTTTACACTAAGAATTTTGTGCAATGTAAAGGTTTTATGGATCTTGGAATCATAGATGCCAAAAAGAACCATTTATAAGAGTGTATGTGGAATACTGTATCCCACAATGCAATGCACTCTGCTTGATCCTCCACAGAGTGCTGCAAAATTGACATTTTTGCAGGCCAGACAAGTTATCGTGAGCCTAGTCTCACACAGTCTGCACTTTCATTGGCCAAGGGCCGCCCAAGAGAATGTTTGACTGACATGTAACGCAACCATTCGCAGTTTGTTTTGTTCTGCGAAATGTAAAATCTTGGACATATTTTAAGGAGTCAATGACGCAAACTTTACATACTTCGCATACTTTTGAAAATCCAGCATTTAGTTGACCCTGATAAACGCTCATTGTCACAGTTGTAAACACGACAGCTTTCTCCTTCCATGAGGGGGTTTGGAATGGACTGTTAAAGAACGCGACATCCTATAGAATTCAACCAATCAGATGACTACTTAAAAAAATCAGCCACTGGTCTGTGGGCGTCATGTCTGAGAATGAGATTATAGCATTAACCTGGTTCCTTCAACAAAAATGCTAAAGATCTGTTTAAATTGGCTTTTGGATTATAGCAGAAAATAAGCTCTGTGACCAACAGAAGTTTGTTTTCATCAGGATAATCAGCTCAACTTTTTGAATTTTGAAGCCAAAACGCAATCGGCAGATGTGAAAACTAAAGGCTATCAATTAACTACACGGTTGCTTCTGACAACTCTTTCAATATTCATTTAAAAACAACATGTTGAGTTAGAATAGTTTGCAAGAGTGATTATAAACGTGTCCCTTACAACCTCTATAGTCCCTCTATAAGCCACTTGATAGCCTTTTTCCAAAAAATTGTGCGGGGCATTATTGATGTATTTTATGTCATTGAATAAAACATGAACCTGTGTTAACCACAGACCTTATTTCAGCCATTTAACAAAAAAATCCATTCAAAAATATTCTGGATGATGGAACTGGAAGTGCAATTGTGCTAACTTATTTCCAGGTTTTTGGAGTCGTTCCCGCAGCACTTTATTTCCACCATAATAAATTAACTGGAAGTGACAACAACCATAATCTTGGCACATTATTTAATCAAACTGACATCTTTGAGCAAAATTGAATGAAAAGTCAACAAATTGTGTACCGTATTAACAATATAACTGGATGACGCTTACTAGCAACGTGACAACAAGCATGCTACTTTTTATTACTATACATTGATTGTATGTATTGTTTCACATGCTACTTTAAAAATAAGGCAGTATGCTAGTACTCCATTCTGAACACAAGCATCCTACACTGAAAAATTCAGGCCCTTTATTGGCATTGATGGTTCTGGTTCCATGAAGAATCTTTGACATGCGTGGAACCTTTCCATTGCACAAAAGGTTCTTTTATAGTGGAAAAAGGTCATTAAAGATATGATCCTTAAAATATTTTTCACACTAATAAAAAAAAACTTTAAAGAACTGTTTATTGATAGGTATTAGGGAGCCAAAAATGGTTCTTCTATGGCATCACAGTGAAAACCTTTTGGAACCTTTGTTTTTAAGGGTGTATTGGTTAAAAGTTGTTTATAACGCCAAGTTTTGAGTGCTAAGTGTACTGTAAGTTACATTAGATTTGAAAAAACATCTGCTAAATGAGAGCACAAGCACGATTGCCTTGCGTGTCAAGACTCAATGAGCAAACCACGGTCTCCATTCATCCTAATATACGCATGCAAACTCTCTGCCACTCGCTTGCCTTCTTTTCTGCTCTGATGTTTAGTATGTAATCCCTATTAGTTAGCAGGCAGGTGGCAGGATGGGGCAGCTGCAACCGAGACTGGAGCCACATCCATGCACGTGAAAATGCGATTTCCATCTCCCCCTCAAACATTCACTTGTCCCCACTCCCAATCTGGCCCCAGCAACCACCTGGCAAACAGACTGGATCTTTACGCACCGAGACTCAGCTGTGCTGGACATATGGTCAGTCAGTCCCCCGTCAGCCTCCTCATACTTCAGTGAACTTTACATCTTAATTAAGACTAGAGCATCACAAAGCTTGGGCTCCATCGCTCTTCTACTCAGTTTGGGCATTGAGTTTCAGTAGATGTAGATGGAAATATGGTAAATGAAAGGCCTTGAATTTGATGTAACGCCCAAAACAAAATGCAGAAAGATGACTAGCATGCCAGATTTTTAACTGTTAACTCTTGAGAGGATATACTAAACTTTCTTGGGTCGTGTGCAGCTGCCGTCCTATTTTTCCCAAGCAGGGCTTGACATTAACACACACCAAATGTGGGTGTATTTCAGTGGCGTGTCACTCCTACTAGCCACTTTGATGGGTTGAATTGTATAAAAATACTGTATACATTTTTTTCAATTGGAACCTTTAGTGTCGTCAAATGTCAAATAAGTCGATTTTTTGATACCCACAGAATAGATGCATGTGACCAGCTGAGCTTTCTCTCTCTCTCGTCTCTCCGATAGTGAGTTAACGCACAAACCCGCCTTCATTCACTCATTTTATTTTAATCCAGATGAAAGTTGTCGGTGTTACAGGGCTTGAACTTCACATAATTTTCTCATTCCAGCAGATTTTGTGCTCTCGCCCCCTGGTATGCCGTCTCTCAGAACTATATTGAGTTCTTTTTCGCTGTTTATTGCACTTAAAAAAATCAAACACATACATAATAATGTAAAAGAAATGCTTGGCGAGTATTCACGTAAACACAGTCAGTCATTTTTTTTGAATGAATGTAAACATTTGAGAAAGAAAACAGATGTGTAAGAGTATAATAGATCCGTGCGAAAGGTCTTAAAGTGACAGCAAAATATCTATATGGCAGTTTTTCCCAAAATTGTGGCCAGTGAAAATGCTGAGTGGCTAGTAACTTCGGAAAACCACAAGCCTCAGTGGCTGGTGAGCAAAAAGGTAAATGTCCCAAGTAATGTCCTAGATGCTTTTGGCTAAATCTGTCCAAAGAAACACGTTTGTGTGTTTTTAAGGTTGCCCTAACACAGCAAATGTGGATAGAGGCTCTGTCTCTAAAGACTCTTTCAGCTAGCCAGTTTCTGACCGCTACACCACATTGTTGGCACTGTAGTTAATTCGCTGTGAGTGGCTGGTGGTTATTTGACTGACCTTAGAAAGCGGTTGAGGTCTCCGTGTCGCATGTACTCAAACACCATGGCCAGAGGTTCTCCGTCTGTACACACACCGTAGAACCGCACTATGTGTTCATGCTGTAGCACCGTGAGCAGCTCGGCCTCGCGCTGGAAGTCCTGTCGGGTGGACTCGCTGGCAACTTTCAAGGTCTACACATGAAGACAATCAGATGTTCAGTGAACATACGGTGCTCCAAAAAAGTATCTGAATACTTTCAACAAAAGCAACAAAGGTAATGCATTATGTGCAGTTTATTTTTTTAATGAAAATTGCATTTGTAATTTTTAAATTTTAATGCTACTTCCTGACATTCAAATGCCAATTCTTCCTCCAGTTGCAGTTCAATTAAATTTTGAATGGAGCTCAACTCTGGTTTCATGTTTAGTTTTATTTATTGATATTTTGTTTTGTTAAAACTAAAATGGTTTTAGTTACCAATAACAACAACTAGCTAGTTATCTAACTTGTTAACATACATTGTGAAAACTTGTGATAGTCTTAGACGAATCAGGAGGAATTGGTTGAAAATTACTAACCAATCAGTAATGTTTTGCATTGCTTGCCATTGTTCTTGTTCAAATCTGTGTAAATGCATACAGCTGCCATGGAGTTAAAAGGAGTAGTTCACTTTTAAAAAAAAAACTTTTGCTAATAATTTACTCACCCCCATGTCATCCAAGATATCCATGTTATTATTTCTTCAGTCGAAAAGAAATTAAGGTTTTTGATGAAAACATTCCAGGATTTTTCTCCATACTTCAATGGGAACCAAACGGTTGAAGGTCCAAATGACCATTTCAGTGCAAACTGCAAACTGTTTAAAGGGCTTTAAACGATTTCAGACGATGAATAAGGGTCTTATCAAGCAAAACGATCGCTCATTTTTAAAAAAATAACAAAGTTTAAGTTTTATAAGTTCAAATGCTCGCCTTGCTCTGTTCTGTGATGCGCGTTCGTGACTCTCCTGTTCGAACTCGTTTATCAAAATGAACGAATCTTTTTTCATGTCATCATTTATCGTCTGAAATCGTTTAAAGCCCTTTGAACAGTTTACACTGAAACTATCTTTTGGACCTTGAACAGTTTGGTTCCCATTGTCCATTATATGGAGAAAAATGCTGGGATGTTTTCATCAAAAACCTTAATTCCTTTTCGACTGAAGAAAGAAAGACATGGACATCTTGGATGACATGGGGGTGAGTAAATTATCAGCAAAAGTTTTTTTAAAAAGTGAACTACTCCTTTAAATATTTTAGTTGTAAAACATACCTTTTGTTGTTAAAAGAAGTAGTGTATCGTGAAATAACCCTAACCAAAGAAGCCATGATAAACTAAAGCATGATCATACCTTGATAGCAACCAGCATCTTGTCAGTGTCAGGACAAAGGTTGGCACATTCTGCTAGGTAAACCTTGCCAAAAGCTCCTTCACCCAGTTCCCACTTCAAAATAATGTCTTTTCTTTTAATGTTTTGGACACCTGCAAAATACAAGTAAATAATCACTTTAATTTAGTACAAATTGAATCAGGATGCTGAAAACCTGTCCTATCATGGGATTGTGAGACTCACACATGTCTTTGTCTTTGATGATGCCACAGAAATACTGCGGGTTTTCTACAAAACTGGACAAGCCAGAGTCAAGCGTGCTGTCATCTGAAGATGGAGGACTTGCCCCGAAGTTCATGAAGCGGAGAGACACGGCCAGATCGTCCTCAGTGCCCAGAACAGACGAACCTGTAGACACATGGACAGAATACTGACAGTATTGTCAACGGTATTGCTTAGAAATTGATTACTCCATGGCATGCACAACAAAGCATCAACAGAATGTTTACTTGATCCGAAGCAAATCGCCTCAGTTTTAGGAAGCAGAATTAAATGCGAAGGCCTCTCCTTCAAATCACAAAACCCACTCAAGCTATAACCGCAGAGACCCCAGACTGGGCAGAGAAGAGGAACGCAGGGAATAGAGGGCGAGAGGGGAGGGAGGCAATCAGGTCCACTTAGGCACTTTGTGAGCGGAGCGAGTGGACCTGAAAAGCCTGGCTCCATCACTCTTCTATAATGGCTGGCTCGCGGCTGGGGCTCCCGATGCTATTTACTTTGCATGCTGTAATTAAGACCTGGCAGCACTTTGCCGAGCTGTTAGGCTGACACTGTACAAAGTTACAGCTTAAAAGAGACCGTATTTCGCTCCCTTTTTGTCTGTTACTTAAAAAGAACACAATGCCTCATGTGGAACTCGTTCCGATTGGAGAAACAATAATGGAGAAAGTCATTTCGGTATGTTCTGTGATTGCTTTCTTGTTTAGTGATAACATTCTTACGCTGTTGCGCGAGTCACACCTGGTTTGTTTCTGCGATGCGTTTCAGTTCACTTTCCTTTGAAAGATCTCAAAACATCTTCGTTTGAGGCTTAAACTGCTTTCTGATCAAGTGAAAATTGTTGTGTCATTAGCTGGATTAGCACACTCTAAATAATGCTGGGTTTTTTAACCCAAATTTGGGTCAAATATGGACAAACCCAAATGTTGGATTAAAATTGTAGTGTTCAAACTTGTACATTTTTTTAATCACATTTTTAACCCAACATTTGGGTTTGTCCATATCTGGGTTGAAACAACCCAGCATTTTTTAGAGTGCACTTAAAATGAGATGAAGGCTTCACTCATATTAGTAGCATACAAAAAAATAATAATACATTGGTTGTTTCAACCCAACTTTGGGTCAAATATGGACAAACCCAGCCATTGGGTAAAGTTTTTACATTACATTTTTAACCCAACATTTGGGTTTGTCCATATTTGACCCAAAGTTGGGTTGAAACAAGCATTTTTAGAGTGTAAAAATCCTACAAATGGTGGCTACTGTATTTAGATCACATGACCATGACTGTCACATCCATAGATATCTATATAATGGCTAGATATCTCGTCCGCGCTGCTGGCCAATGGAGGACGATGTCAGCGCCTGGCGGCCATCTTGTCACAGGCAGCTCGCTCACTGGTAACATTGTTTTGATGGTGCATGTACTTTTTAAATCACCGTAACTTGCTCAATTTTCTACCGATTTTCAAATGGTCTGGTTTGTTATAAACGGCAGAGATGTAGTTATGATACTGCATACTTATGAATAATACGTGTATAAATAAATAATCATCCAGAATTATAGCCACGTTAATAACGTTTGTAAGAAACCAAACCGTTTGTAAATCCGTCAAGATTTCAACGATATAAGAGTATTTCTTACATCAGATACCACAGAGCCCGCCAGAAAGCCTGTCTGTGACAAGATGGCCGCCAGTGATGACCGCCGGTGAATAAATACTCCGCCGTGAGACATCTAGCCTTTATATAGATATCTATGGTCACATCAGCCAGTAATAAAAAAGTAATAATGTTCTAGACATTCTACTAACCAAAGTTACTTTGTCAAATACAGGTCAAATAACTCTTATTAGTGTATTACTGTTAGGTTACGGTTAGAAGAATAAGTGGATGTAGACTACTTTCAAAGTCATTGTCTGTTGAGGGACCAACAATATAAAGTGTTAGCAGATATTAAGAAGACAGACAGTCAATAATACTCTAATGAGAGTTAGTTGACATTTACTGTAGTTGCAAAGGTACTTATAGTTCGTAGAATGTCTAAAATGAACAACCGAAATAACGTTAATTAATCACACAATCCATTTTTCTTCCATAATCTGACGTATTTTAAAGCAACATAGCATGGGTAATCAGAAAAAAAATAGGCGTGGGGCTTGATTACAAGCCATATTGAATAGTTGTTGGGATTTTGAACTATAAAGATATTTGATTTATATAGCATCAGTTGAACAGGAAAGTTGTTTCAGAGCAGTGCTGAGCAAGGTTTATGAAGAGTAACATGCACAATATGCAGTAAAAAAGTAAATGTGGCCAGTTTTGATTTCATGTTGACGTTTCACAAAGACTGTAGATGGTTCACTTATATATTGCTATGGGAGAAACTGCAGTGTACAATATGGAGGAGTAACACTACAGCTGCTGTTAGAAGCTCTGGTTTCCATTTGAGATAGATTTTGCCACTCATTTGAAATATGTCATTTAAATGTGTGTTGGGCAAGAATTTTCCCCTTTCAAGTTGGTCTTGCATGCCCGAAATAGCTGCCCGGAGGCATTGGAAATATGACTGTCGAGTGGACTTACCTTGAAAGAGATTTTGGTAATACATGATGAAAAGTCACCATGCAATGTTAATTACAACACATTTTCGAGCAAAACAGGATATTTAGTGAGAATGCAGGGGGAGGCTTAATGGTATCCGCCGAGAAATAATTCGATTTTGAAAAATGGGCGTTACATGCTAAAATGAAAACTTCAGTGGTTGAACAGCAAAAGGAAAGTTGTTTCAGAGGTTTAGGAAGCAAAATGTTTTTAATATGGAATAACTTGCACACTTAATGTGCATTAAGTAAATATGGGCGGATTTGATTTCATGTTGACTAAGAACTTACGGTGGATGCCGAACTTGGAGTGCTGTCCACATTTATTGATGACAACAACCATGATGAGAAGAAATGTGCAGGCAAACACAGCGAGACCCACCGCTACTGACACCTATGCAAATGGACAATATTAGAGCGATAACACTTATACAAGAATGTGAAAAATAACATATGTGACTCATCTCGTACCCCAAACACTCTGGTCTCCAGTTTCTCCGTCTCCGTTGATTGGTTGGTGGGAACTGCTGAGGTTAAATCATTTAATGAAATAGTTACTTTATCAACACTGCCAAAAACAAAAAACATATATATATTTTTCTTGTTTTCAAGTACAAATATCTAAACATTTTTAAATCAAGGTACATGTTATTGAGTATTGAAGCTTACATATTATGCCCTTATACAACGTCTTGATTTTGTTTTTCATGTTAAATGTTCAAAGAAAATTATTTTGCATTCCCAGTCTGTCAGTAACACTGTGGTAATCTATATAAAGGCTAGATGTCTCACGGCGGAGTATTTATCGTCATCACCGGCGGACATCTTGTCACAGACAGGCTTTCTGGCGGGCTCTGTGGTATCTGATGTAAGAAATACTCTTATCTCGTTGAAATCTTGACGGATTTACAAACGGTTTGGTTTCTTACAAACGTTATTAACGTGGCTATAATTCTGGATGATTATTTATTTATACACTTATTATTCATAAGTATGCAGTATCATAACTACATTTCTGCCGTTTATAACAAACCAGACCGTTTGAAAATCGGTAGAAAATTGAGCAAATTACGGTGATTTAAAAAGTACATGTACCATTAAAACAATGTTACCAGTGAGCGAGCTGCCTGTGACAAGATGGCCGCCAGGTGCTGACGTCGACCTCCATTGGCCAGCAGCGCGGACGACACGTATAAATATCTATGATGGTAATGCTCTGTTTAGTTCCTGTCTCTATGAAGCCCCGCCTTCCTAAAAGTGCAGTGCGCTCTGATTAGTCAGCTCGACCAGTGTGTTGTTGTGATTGGCTTACCATAACAGTGAGTTTTTAATACGCTACTAACTCAACTCAACCAGGCCTCACCACTTTAGTTTTAGTATGCTTTGGACGGGAATTATTTAAACAAGGAATATTGTGGAATGTTTGTTCCTGGAAGTAAACTCAAGGCTAAAATCAAGGCGTTTTAGGGAGATATAGAGAAAGGCTGTGTCCGAAATCTCCACTTTATCCACTACTCCTTACACTATTAAACGTGTGCGTGCTTACAAACAATTTATACATGTCTGACAAAATTAAGTTAAATGAGACATAACATAACTTACATTTGTATGACAAATTTGTATTGTCGCGCTGCTCCCCTTGTCGTCCGTCCTCCATTTTTACGATCAGCGCAATGCATGATGGTATGTAGGGCTTGGGTTAGTGACCATCGGTTGTACACTACTTTTCAAAATGCATTCTGGGATACATCGAGTGGACTATATAGGGTATAATAATCATCACTATACATTCGGACAGCACTACAAAATGGCGAGCTCACTATATAGTGCACTAGTATATAGTGAGTAGTGGGAGATTTCGGACACAGCCAAAGTTTAAAACGTCGCTCCAATAAATAATTTAAGATCTTAAATATTAAATCTATCAAAATTAAGTACGAAAAATCTTGTTTTTGCTTTGAACTGTTTGTTGTTGTTTTTTGGCAGATATTTTTTTACTTAATTTTGATTCATTTTTCATAGAGCAAGACTTAATATCTTCTGTAATTTTGCTTCTCAACTAAATGTATCTGTTATTAATGTTTAGGTATTTGTACAGGAAAACGACAACGGGACGTTGACCCACGGGAAGCTGATTTAGAGAAACTTACTTGGGTCATCAGGGAGGACTGGCATGTGGAGAGAAAATATAACAATAAATTACTCAACGCACCACAAAGCGTAAGCAATACATGTTGTGTGATGGTGTGCACTCACCAGGAATGATGCCCTCTGGGTCAAAGGGGTCGAAAGGATTTACCATGAACATCCCCTTCACTGTAGCCTGGTCCCTACCCAGTTTATTCTCCACGATGAGTGTGTAGTTGCCGTTGTTCAGATGGGTGGGCTTGTTGAGGAACAGACAGCCGTGTTGAATGGAGCCATCGGCCGCGTCTCTGATCAGTTCGGTGTAGGTGTAGCGGGTTTCGATGAGAGGTGTGTTGTTGTACAGCCATTTGATGGAGGCGGGAGGATTGCTATCCACAGCAAACGGGATACACCAGTGATGTTGTGGCTCTGGGTCCTTCAGAAACAAGATCCGCACTGGAACTAAACACAGACTGGGAATGAGTTCACACGTGTGCAGTGAGACATAATCACAGTCCATAGGGACGCACAATATCAGCCGATATTGGATATTTAATTGTTTCTGCCTATTTTGAGACTTGGATCACTTTTGATATCATCTTGGACTAATGTAAAGGGATGCAATTTCCCTTTAAAGGGGTCATGAACTGGCTTTTTTTTTTTTTTACATTGTTGTCTGAAGTCAACTTATGACGTTCGCTTGGTTTTTACATTAAAAAACATCAAAATGAATAAGTAATAGGCTATTTTCTACCCTAGTTTTCAGCCCAGCTCAAAAACGCTCGGTTTTTATGGGCGTCTCACATTGAAGACTTGGAAGTAAACACCCACTGCTGTGAACAGTTTTGCATATTATAATGAGTTTCACTCTCGATCCGATTTGTCATCATGAGGTAGGCCTATATTATTTAGCTATGCGTCTAATGCGCGAATCGGTGGGCGGGGCTAAACCGGTCGTGTTGAAGTAGGCGTTGACGTCATAGTTCCCCACTTTGAAAAACGAGTCGTTTGCTAAGCCTAGTGTCAATAAAAGCTTTTATTGGACTAACACGGACGTTTTCAGTTCTGAAACTTACAGGATATTCTTATAATATAATGACCTCTTAGATGTCAAAAGCTCAAGGAAAATTAGATTTTTCAGTTGAGGATCTTTTTTTTTTTTAAAGTCACACTTTACCTAATCAGCATCCCAGAGGTCCCTACTCTGTTATGAATACTTATTTTTTAAAGTAGATTTCAAAAAGAAATATTATTATTGTTTGTGATGTGTACGTGTGTTCATATAGCGTTTTTGTCACTGATAGCACGTCTGCATAAAATGTTAAATACCTTTTTTTTAAATACAACAGACTTTTTGCATCTAGCTATCTCTATTCACTACTATATTATTATGAGAACTTATTCCTTTTTTATTTAAAAAGTATAGATTTTTAAAAATGTATTAACTAATATTAAAGAATTATAACATTAATTTAAAATAATGAAATAATTATTGGAGAATTTTATTTATGTTTATTAAATGAAAGAATATTTTAAGAATATTGTACATTATATTTATCCATTATTTGTGTGTGTGTGAGTGTGAAGTCTCTGAGCTGTTGGTTCCTAGTGTCCGCACTTATTCAGCTTCTGTGTCCACCAATCAGGGAGCAGATTACTGTATGTATTCCTATTGGTTGCATTGCATCACTGCTCATTTGCATAAAGTTGAATTCGCTAACTGCCGCAAACCATTGCAGTAAAGAAGTTCACTGTTCACATAATGTTCCTGTATGAATAACGCTTTCCATAACTAGTACCTGTTCTTCAGAATAGCTCAAATGACTGGAGCGTCCATCATAATTTTTATTTTTCCATGAATCAATGTGCTCAATCTTTACAGTTGACCTGTTATAAATAATAAATCTCTGTCTGTTTAGGGGACCTAACCACAAGAGGCACTTGAGAGCCCGGTGAAGGTGGGATACAGGAAATGGTTCTTTTAGCCGGGAGAACATGCTGACGCGCACAGCCCGGTCGCCGCTTCATAACCATTTCAGTGCTCTTAACCCGTGACCCAGCCTCCAGAAAGTGCTTCGCACGGAGAATCTCAGTCATTTGTGTCATGACCTAGAGCTCACGCTTGAAAAACCGTCCTCGTTACACCGGCCCGATGTTAACGGTTGAGCAAGTTCGAGAGCCATTTTTGGACTCCACTAATTGTGGTAATCAAAAGGAATTAAATAATTAAATCCATTAATTGGGTTGCGGTAAAGGTAGAGATGGCCAAAGGTGAATTTCATCATCGGTTAGAACGGTACAGTACACTAAGGCATGACTAACGCTAGGGAATTATATTATCGATTGGCGTCTGGGTTTAATAAAAGACGTTTCGGGTCAGAATTATGCCGTGGCTATAACCGGCCTGCTAATTTAAGAGCTAATTAAGCAGCGGCCGACGAGCCGTTGTCCACCTGTCACGTGATTCGGATGGACTGGCAACTAGCACACTTGCTATCTGCCAATCGGTCCTCACAATTATATTTCCGGACTATGGGGGAGAGAAATCCATTAGTAGAGAACAAACAAGATCTGAAGACAGTTATCATCCCATTTTCCTGACAGTCATTATCGCTCCCTTGATGGCGATACATTTGTCTGAAGTCAAGCACTGTTTTTCTTCTTTCTGGAGAGGAGGTGATAAACAGTGATAATTGCTGTGGTGTGGAGTGCGTCATATGGGAGGGTTTTCGGTGGAAAATTACGGCCGTTGCAATGCTGTGAGAGCGGGTTGTCATCGTTAACTAAAAACACTTACATTATAAATTAGCGATAAGTATTATATGAAAAACATAAACTAATCTTACTGAAATAAAGTATCATTTAAAATATTAAACTAATTTTATTTAAGCTAGCTGCTAAAGCAACATTTCTCAACTTCTTTTAGTTTAACTTGATGTGCTAAAGTAAAGAGTATGGAGCCCGCACGACATGCAAAAATTCATAAATCTCTCCCACGACATTTTTACTAATCGTTGTGCACATGATATAATAATTTGTTAGCAGTTAAATCAAAATGAGAGAACGAATTAGCGCAACGTGGCCACAATTTAGCAAACAAGGAAACCAATTATTATATTGCGTGCACAATTTCCTTAAAACATGAGAAAGTATTTTTAAAATAAAAATTTTTGTCCGCATGTCGTGCAGGGCTCCATAATATGAATTTAAACTGAAATAAAAATGACTAAAAACTTTTTAGACATGTTTAAAACATTTTTTGAATAAAAGTGAAACTAAACATAAAACAAAAATAAAAGCTAATTCAAATTATTAATAAAAGTGTATAAGTGTTTAAGGAACCTCAAATGGGTTTCACACTTTGCATGGTTTGGGAAGATACATTTCATAATAACTTTGGGTTTGAGTCACATATGTCGCTCTGTTAAAGAAATCTATGGATGCCTGGAGGAGTAAAAATCAATTAATAAAATGGTAATTGCAACTTTATAGCACACATTCTTGCAATTGCTACTTTATATTTCAAAGTGGGACTTTCTAATTTTAAACTTTTATCTCATAGTTAACTTTTTCATTTTTTTTTTGTACTTTTTTACTCCATAAGAATCTCATCTGTTGTTGCATTCAGATTTGAAAATGTGTTGACATATGCTAAACACCTTGGTCATTGGCAGAAAAACAGCCCGTTCTCATCCCATGACGCTTTTGACCATACGTCATCATCCGACGTTTTAGGGTACCCTTTAACGTCAGTTAGATGACGCTATCTAATCCTAACCCTATCCTAGACCTAAACCTACCCACGTCATCTAACTGACGCTAAAGGTAAAGCGTCAGTTGGTTGACGTTAACGGGTGCCCTAAAACGTTGGATGTTGGTCAAAAGCATCAGTTAGATGACGTCTTGGGACGAGAATGTGTTGGAAAAATAGCAGCGCGAGGTGAGAAAACAAATGTCAGTACTTACATTCAATATCCAGCTGCACAGTGGCTTCATCCATTCCAGCGCGATTCTCCGCCTCACAGGTGAGATTGTGCAGGTTGTCTCCAGAAGACACGTTCCTCATGTGCAGAACCAGCTCCAGGGTTGATCCCCAGATCCCTTGCTGTGGACAAAGATGAATGGATTGACAAAGACCAAAGATCTCTCAGAAGTCCTGCAACAATGTCTGATCAACCAACCAGGGGTAAGGACCTTCAAGAGCAGTTCTTTCAACCAATTTGACTGTACGTGTATTCATTTAGTCCAAAATGAGGAATACTTCAAGGAAAGTGATAAATCATAGGATTATGGTCCAGGACCAGGCACATGCACTACTTTGGTAAATCACTTCCATTGATGCTTCATTGAACACTTCAATACTTGAATGCAGTATGTGTCATGTACCTGCAGGGTCCAGCTGGACTGGAGGTGCTCTGTTCTCCAGCGGATAGTCGGTGTTGGTACTCCAGTCACCAGACAGGTAAAGGTCAGGTTTCCTCCTTCTTGAGTGGTCAGTGTCGGTGGGTCAATTTTGACTTCAGGAACACCTGCAGAAAAGGGAAAAAACAACAACATTTCACCGATTTTAGTTATAAGGATCCTAAACTTTTGAATAGTAGTGTATGACCAATTGGGTAACACTTTACTAGAAGGGGTGAGCATAAGACTTCATGTTAAGTGACAACTGTCATTAAGTGTCATTCGCTCAATTATGACGTTTTTAATGCAAATGTGACATTGTTTGCGATGTCTTTGTTATGAGACCTTGACATAAACCAATACATCATAACCTGTCGGTGTCTTTGTCATGGCAACTTGATATTACTAAGACAACACAACCTGTCATAAACATGACATAGCAGATTAATTATCAAACTAAAGAAACCACCTAGCTTTATTGGTTAGCATTACATTAAACTGTCATGTGGTTGGTTTAGACTTTGGCTGTCATGAAGCCATTATAACTTTTTAATGACAAATTCAATTAGTACAACTGTAGTTGAGGTCACGAAAAATATTCATGACACAGTTATAATGACAGCCAATGACAAAGCCAACCACATGACAGTTTAACTTAATTTTATGTCAAGATGTCATAACAAAGACATCTCAAACAATGTCATATTTGCATTCAAAATGTCATTATTGAGCGAAAGACACTGTCATAAACATGCATAAACCTTACTTCATGTTGAAGACATATGTCATGTCATGGTTATGAAGATGTCATGTCAGTCTTATGCACACCCCTTCAAGTAAAGTGTTACCAAAGTGGTCATTATGACAATTTTGTATCACTAACTTAAAGGTGATCTATTTTAATGGTTTATTTCAAACTCACAGCCAAAGCGTTTACATTTTTGGGGAAATCAATCTTGCTTATTGTCTCTACGTATTCAATTGGGATAGAAGTAAAATTACACATGTGATCTTGAAATATGTTTCATTCCAGATAGGTGCACTTACTACAATTATCCATTTCAAATGAATCCAGCTGAATGCTGTTGGCATTGTAGATGCAGTTTTGTTGAGAATCAATATCGTTTTGTCTTTTTCTATGCCATTGCTGAAGCCAGTAAATGTCACATGAGCAGGTGAGTGGATTGTCCCTCAGAATTCTGTGCAAAAAAAGAACCGATTTCTTATGCTTACTTCATGCTTTCAGGCAAAATAATACACACACAGGACCTCAAATATATCATTTCAGCTTTTCAGACTGAGGTAAATTGTTTAAATTGTTCAGTCTCAAATCGCCAGCGGAGTAAATCTCAGCATAGCCGTATATAAGTGGAGTTTGTTACTCACAGACTCAACAGAGGGACTGCATGAAACACCCTCCAACTGATGTGCATTAGTAAATTAGAGGCCAGGTTTCTGTAAAAGAAGAGAAGATGTGAACTACATGCAAAAGAGAGATGCTATTGGCTCTGTTGTACAATAGTTAAATTGACTCTTAAAGAAGTAGTTCACTTTTTTTTAAAAAAACGTTTGCTGATAATTTACTCACCCCCATATCATCCAAGATGCCCATGTCTTTCTTTCTTCAGTTGAAAAGAAATTAAGGTTTTTGATGAAAACATTCCAAGATTTTTCTCCATATAATGGACTTCAGTGGGAACCAAACGGTTCAAGGTCCGAAAGATAGTTTCAGTGCAAACTGTTCAAAGGGCTTTAAACGATTTCAGGGTCTTATCAAGCGAAACAATCGCTCATTTAAATAACAAAGTTTAAGTTTTATAAGCTCAAATGCTCGCTTTGCTCTGTTCTGTGATGCGCGTTCGTGACTCGCCTGTTCAAACTCCTTTATTAAAATGAACGAATCTTTTTTCTTGTCATTTGGTTCATTCAACGAACGAAATGAACAAATTGACTTGGAAAAAGATTTGTTCATTTTCATTGATAAACATGTTCGAACAGGATTGTCACGATCACGAACACGCATCACAGAACAGAGCAAGGCGAGCATTTGAACTTATAAAACTTATACTTATTTTTTTTTAAATGAGCTTGATAAGACCCTTATTCATCGTCTTGAATCGTTTAAAGCCCTTTGAACAGTTTGCAGTTTGCTCTTAAACTGTCTTTTGGACCTTGAACCATTTGGTTCCCATTGAAGTCCATTATATGGAGAAATATCCTGGAATGTTTTCATCAAAAACCTTAATTTCTTTTCGACTGAACAAAGAAAGACATGGACATCTTGCATGACATGGGGGTGAGTAAATTATTAGCAAAAGTTTGAACTACTACTTTAATAAATAGGAGTCATTTTCTTTCAAAAAAATGATGTGTAGGCAGCTCAGATACGTGAGTTTAACCTGTTTGGGGGAATTTTATCACACAACTAGATGTTTTATTGAATGGAAGCTAATTTTAAAATATTAATAACTTCTATAATAGCATTTAAATACTGCATGTATAGATATGGCTCCAATAAACCCTTCAATGTGAGTGGAATTTTTGCTTTCCCATAGATTTTCATTGTAAACTCGTGTTTGGCGTCGCGCACGCGTCTTTAGACCTTGAGGAGAAGGTTTTCGCTTCACTAACCTACATCTCGCGTTTTTAGCCACGAAAAAAACTTTTCCATTGTTTTGAAACATTGTTTTATGTAAACACGGATGGACATTTTTAACCGCTTCACGTCTTTTGCACCGTCTCACGCATGATACAGCGTTCAACATGGGGCTCTTGGTCAAGATTCCAGGCCAACTTAAAGGGTTAGTTCACCAAAAAATGAAAATGATGTCAAGCCTGTTCCAAGCCCGTAAGACCTCTGTTCATCTTCAGAACACAGTTTGAGATATTTTAGATTTAGATTCAGCTTTCTGAAGATAAACAGAGGTCTTACGGGCTTGGAACGAAGTCATTAATGACATAATTTTCATTTTTAGATGAACTAACCCTTTAAGCTTAAGGGCTTTGTTCAAATCGTGAAGTATGCGCAGTAGCTGATGGCACTAACAAGATTCAATGCAGCTAAATATTTCATATAAGCACTGCATTTCTAAATAACACTGGCACGCATCTCTCTGTATTGGCTGACAACTGGACTCAAGCTTAATTAGTTGAGTGATTTTCTCTCTTTTTCACAGAGAACAGGTTTGATACGTGTGAATTTTGAAGGCATGTGTGTTGGCCACAGGCATAGTTTGATGAATTCTTTTGCAATCGTTTTTGTATCAGATTCAGAGATGTTTGTCGTCTTGTTTCATTGAATTTTGCGAGACCTCTTAAGGAGAAGGAAGCCGAAATCTAAAGCTAAATAAAGAGAGATGACAAACGATGGGGACAATAAAGGCTTGGCAGATATAGATTCTCTGTGGCAGGGCTAATGGGGGCCAGCAAGGGTTCAAATATTTGTTTTCCCTTCTCCCAAAAGTTCATGTCAGATGGGTCGGCCATCGGGGCCTATCTATTACAGCTCGATTCTACCGTAGGGAGAGAGCGTCTGAGAATAGCAGCTGCCGTTTCATATTGGCGTCGAAGGGAGGGAGGGAGGGAGGGGGGCGTGGATTTAAAGAACCGAAGCAAAGGCTGGATCAGGCGTATAAAAGATAGGCTCGTTTATACTTATGATTTTTCATACTGTACATCCCCACCGCCACTTGAAGCTTACAGACACATCTGGCCCTCCGCACAGCCCTCTGTGAAATATTGATTGCGTGATAATGGACCCTTAGTGGAGTGTATTTATTATGCATCAGTTGTCAATAATACGCCAAAGTGGGCGAGTAAAAGGTGACTGCTGGATATGCTCTCATGTTTCCATTGAACCCCCCCTCCTGTGTGACCGCTTTCCCCCACATCAACAACAGTGGGCATGTCGCACACACTGGAAGATAACGATTACAAGATAGTGGAGATAAGGGTCAACAACCTTTCAGTTTCAGCTAATATCATTAGTGTTTTGTTGATGCTGTGATTAGAAATCTTCCCTTCAGGAGGGAACGTTGGCTCTTTTAGCCCTAAAATGCTTTTATTTTTAGGCATTGAGTTACTATACATCTGTTTTATTCTATTAAGATTTCTTGTTGTGGAGGTTCTATAAGGTTTCTTGATATATGTGAAGTTCGATTTGTTGTATACGTGATTTGGATGAGATCAAGGGCATAAAAAAACATTATTGAACATAAACGTTATTGTCCCCCCAGTTTTTGGGGAAATTGAAGGAAGAGAAGGAAATGAATAATTGAAATTAAGTCGTTATTTTTGTTTGTTTTTTTGCGCTCAAAAAGTTTTCTCGTCGCTTGATAAACTCAAGGTTGAGCCACTGTAATCACTTGGACTATTTTAACGATGTCTTTAATAACTTTTCTAGGCCGGCAAGTTTCAATCCCTTAGAAGCCTATGGAGGAGTGATCCAGCTCTCAGATTTAAAGGGATACTCCACTTTTTTGGGAAATAGGTTCATTTTACCACTCCCTCAGAGTTAAACAGTTGGGTTTTACCGTTTTCGAATGTATTCAGCCAATTTTTTATATTTAGAAGAATATCAGTAACCAGACAGTTTCTGGTCTCATTGACTTCCATAGTATATTTTTTGTTTCCTACTATGGAAGTCAATGAGACCAGAAACTGTCTGGTTACTGATATTCTTCTAAATATCAGAAAATCGGCTAAATGGATTCAAAAACAGTAAAACTCAACTGTTTAACTCTGTAGGGAGTTGTAAAATGAGCCTATTTCCAAAAAAAGTGGAGTATCCCTTTAATCAAAAATATCTTAATTCGTGTTCCGAAGATGAACGAAGGTCTTATGGGGTTGAAACAACATGAGGGTGAGTAATTACTGACAGAATTTTCATTTTTGGGTGAACTATCCCTTTATTCCTGTGCGAATCGGCCATGTCTGTAATTTGTAAAGTAAAAATTCCCCCGCAAATGACCTACCATATTTCACCGAACACAGAGGTCCTGGGATAATTGCGAATCGGCATCTCTGGGATTTGCCGGGGTCGTATATATTTTTTTCAAGGTTTTAGTTTCGTGTGCACCTTTTTATCCATCTTTTGTGAAGAATGAAGGCTGCGTCTGCCTGTTTTGATAGTATGGGTGATGTACCCATCAAGATCAAGCTAAATAAATAAATTCCACATGGACACTAAATTCAAAACGTTTTAAAGATTGCCATTGACTTCCATATGGAAGAAAAAACTTCTATGGAAGTCTATGGCTACCTTCTACTATCCCTTTAAGTCTCCTAAAATTCCAGAAAAGAAACACCATACAGGTTTGGAATGACCTGAAAATGAATAAATAATGACATAATTAGAACAACTGGATGTCATGTCACTTAATTATTATTCAAGAGCCAAGCTGATTTTGTAATGTTTCCTGCATCCCACCAAACACACGTTTCAGATTGTTCTTACTCCCTTGATGACATGATGATCATGAATAAACAATTCTCTGCAAATTTCCTTTTTAATTAATGGAAATGAATGCAATAAAATGATTTCTGGAAGTGAAATGTAAAAACGTTTTCTTTAATAGTCATTGAGTTGCTAACTAACTTTAAATGTGTCTTGGGTTTTTACCGCCTGAGACCAATAAAGCAGCTTCACTCATCAGAAGGGAAGAGGATGTGAAAGTGATTGACAGGTACAAGCCCTGAGACCCAAGTGTATTGTGGGAAAGCCAGTCGTATATATGTAAAGAACACTCACACATACTGCAGCTTGAAATTATGCTGAAAGGCATTTTCAGAGATGTACACCACCCCACAATCTGTGACCGTCCTGAAAAATACACACAAGTCAGATAATTGACTTTTTGAATTTTGAATACTGTTCAAATTTTTGATGTCAGTGTAAATTATCACTTGGAAATAAATGTATAATTTACACTTTTTTTTTTACTTTTACATAGTTCAAAAAATGCTGTTCTCACAGTTTACACAAAAATATGAAGCAGCAAAAACTGTTTTCAACATTGATATCAATATGAAATGTTTCTTCAGCATATTAGAATGATCATGTGACACTGAAGGCTCGAGTCATGATGCTGAAAATTCAGCTTTGACATAACAGGAATACATTATATTTAAAATATATTCAAATATTTGTAAAAAAAAAAATGTTGTTATAAACTGTAATATTCCACAACATTACATTTCTTAGTGCATTTTTGATGCAGCATTGGTCTCCACGAGAGACTTCTTTGTTAAACATTAACATACAGACAGTACTGTATAAATGATCTGTAATCTTTATTCTATCTTGTACATCTTCTGTAGTGTTAAATACTTACAGGTTCTTCAGTTCTCTGTAGTTGGCGAGGTCTATGTCTGTGATGTTCTCCAGGTTTGCTTGATTCTCTATGTAGCTAGAGAGTTGAAATGAAAGAACAGGTTGAAATAATGTTCCAATATTTATGCTCAATGTCATTATTTCAAATCTGAAACTGTTCTGATATGTTTCATTGGTGCACATCATTTCTGATTTTGTTTGCATGATCAAATGCAACAACTTGCTTCATCTCTAAAACGACTTTCCTTTTCAGATTATCCCACAAATCCATCTTCAACTTTCAACCCTTCCCCTCCTGACTCCAATCTGGTATGTAACGCCCCCTTTTCATGATCTCTTCTATACCCAATCCTACATTATTTTTCGGATTGAATATCCTGTTTAAATCAGGAATATAATGAAATAAAATAGTTTGCTATTAAATAGCTTTGTTGAAATACTGAGGAACATGGAAATGACATTTGAGTAGTTTACATTTACTCATTTAGTTCACTTGAGCACATTTAGCAAGACTATATACTCTAAGACTCCTGAATTTTGTGATTCCAGGTCTCTGTGAGTTAGTCTATATGAAAGATTGTTGTGGCCTTGCAGCCATTATTATGGGGCATAAACACCATCAGTGAAGTATTTTGAAATCGATTGATTTTTCATTTCCACACAAGCAGTTTTACTGAACAGTACTTGTACTTCCAGGAATGAGAACTCAGATTCTTTTTGAGAAAAAGTTTTCATAATGGTTCATTGAATCAAATTATAGAGCTATGTGCCTCATTTCAAGGATGCACTATTCCAAATTCATTTTTATAATGGTTACTATTCTGAAATAAGACATCCTATGGTGTATGTTATTACAAATAAGACACATCATATATGCTTAAAACATACGTATATTAGCTGCTGTTCCATAATTCAATGCAACAAAGCTTAAACATATCCACTAACAGAAAGTACCATGGATGGTGTGGTCATGTTTTTAGTCTCTAATCATCTAGAAAACTTCATCCCATGCAAGCAAAAGCCAAATAAACCACAGAAATATTTTTATAAACCATCTTGTTTAAGTACAAATACAATTCAATCCATGCATTCCCTGATTTCTGTAGTTCTTATGTCATTGTCAATACATACCGTAATCAAGTAGGTGCAAATTATGTTGCAATATGTTTCTTTTTTTAGGGGTGGGATATAATATAAACAGTGTTTTATCGTATAGTGAGGCATTGAATATACACAGAGTCATGCTGATAATTATATCCTCTCTTCCTTGTACATAAATAATCTTTTCAAATATAGACGCTGATAACTAAAAGAGCTTTCTTCTGACTTCACTGGAATCTTTTGATCTGCGATTCGGTCCAGTTGTGTTCAAGAAGCACGAACAGATATTTATTAGCGTCTGATTGACCCAGAGAGCCATAATGCAATTACAGAGCAGGTGGGACGACATCTCAAACTGCTTCGGCTTATTGAATCGAGTCGAGTGGGCAATATTTCATCTATTGTTTTCAGCGGGGCATTTGCAAGCAATTCGCAGAATGGAATTTACAGCCTGATGAATGATGTATTTCTGCCGCTGGTATGAAGTTAATGGTCTCTTGTTTTCCTCCCTGGTAGAAGTGCCGTTCCTCTGTGCTGTGCCCGTCTCACTAATACAGCCAAATGCTGCTTTTTTTTACGGGCACAAAGTGTTCTGTGTAAACACGTGGCGAAAGAGCATTCTCATTTATTGATTGAATGCTTGTAGTAAATGTAGAGACTCTGCTGGAGTTCAGTGAATCACACTTGAGCAGGTGTACTGAGACCAACAACAATGGCAGCCGTGCAGAACTTTACCGTAAAAATACACTGATGACGTCAGACATTGTTAGATTACATATACTTTACACTTATTAGCTGCTCTCTATATATATTATTGAATTATCCTAATTATTGAATGAAGCACTGATTGATCAATTTTGACCTAAGCTGATTTCAATGCAACTTCCAAGAATAAAATCTCTTATAATTTGGGGATTTGTCTAAAAGAAGTCGCAGAAATCAGCCATTTTCATTTGTCATTTGAGATGCACTTTTGATGCCATCTATGCTTGAATCTCATATTGCATTATTTTTCTACATTGAAAACAGGAGTTGTCCAAGTTGCTCTTTTCTGTATAATGAAATCGCATGGAGCTTAAATTTAAACTTCATTTATTAAAACATGAGATTTGAACCCTGGTTCCCTTTACGTTCACTGCTTACTATGTTGAAGAAAGCTTTTTTTTAAATGTATTTTTGTCTCATCTCTTCTAGGGCACCAAGTGAACCAGATCCTGAACACATGATCTCTAAAAACACCTCTTGAACATAATGATACAGTTGGGGAAATGGAAAGGCACATGATGGTGTACAAAAATCTTCAGGATTTATGTGTGATACACAGATATGGGAAGCGCACATTGTGAAGGTAACACACATCTAAATACCACTATAATGCGAGAAACACTGACACGGACTGCCTAAAACGCTCCAATTGACATAATTAATAAGAAAACAAGATTCTTTAAAAAAAATTTATTTTATGTTATTGACCCCTGTTTCTAACGTGAATTATAGGGTATTGTAAAAGTAGTGTAAAGATGCATTGGCTTTTTAGATATAATAAATCATTTCTTTCCATTCAAAATTGCATTATTTACACTGAAGGGAGGAGAACGAGAGAGCAAGACACATAGTGAGATAAAGATTGTCAGAGGTGTGCTGATTATAAGCATAAGTGCCATAATCATATAAACATTATTCATTCTGCAAGGCTTGGTATCACCGTTAAAACACCTGGGTAACATCTGTCTGACTGTACACACATGAACACTGAGATGAGTTTCCCACCATTTCCGAGAATAGATTATGTACCTGACACTCTTAAAGGCACTTAAAGAGAAGTACCAGGCCACTTTCCCTCCAGCCCTTGATTAGTTTTAGAAAATTCTGCTTTCAGCGCTTTAGGTCCTGATTCCACAAATTAAATTAAATGTACTATAAAGCAATAAAATCAGGTCTGACAATTAGATAAAAAATCCCCTCTTGGCTAAACCAGGGAACGCATGCACAAACTATACATCCAAATGCTCCGATTTCCCCATGAAAATTCATGAAGGCCAATCACGTCGATTGAACTCGCCACCTGTTCCATCTCCTCGCAAGATCGAGCACCGCACCGAACTTCCTCCGCAACTTTTATCAAGCAGCTCCAAACTCAACTTACATTTCAGTGACGTTTTCACTCTCCTGTGGCGCCAACGCCGGGACGCTGGTGATCCCGTCCAACTCCAGGCATTGCAGCATGGCAAAGGAACAGCGACAGGCGCTTGGGCATCCGCTCAGGGCTGGTGTAACCAGGACGAGAAGCAAAACCACAATCGGGACCACCCTGCGCTCAGCCATGGTGGGGTTCGAGTGAGTTTGTTCACCCTGCAGTGAGGAGAAGCGGCTCTTCTCTTGGCCAGCACTCAGGGTTATGATCCCATCCAGGAGCTGAGCTATTGAGCCGTGTAGAAGGGCCCAGGGGAACGGTGGGCTGTTGCCTCCTCTCCTCCTCTCACTACCTCCCAGTCCGAGATGGAGAAAAGGAGGGGAGGGGCAAAGCGGTCCATTAGTTGAGTGTGAGATGAGAGAGAGAAATGGTCACCAGACACCTCTGTGACACTTGCAGAAGTGACTGTAGCCAGACTCACGAGCTGCAGGTGGACACGGAGAAATCGGAAGTGACCATGAACTTTGAGTTCATGAGGCTAAATGACTCTTAATCATGTATGCACAAAGGGCAAGGATTGTGTTATTTACCCAAGAATAGTTTTATAGGATAGGAGCTTGGGAAAGGTGATTCATTGTCTTGATTCTTCAGATGTGAAATTCCTTGTTACTTCAGATTGTTGTTACTGTAGGTCTATTTAGACAGTTTTGTTTCCTCTTTTAATTCTCCGACACTAACTTTATCCAAAGTGCTGGGGGTCTTTAGTTTTCATAAGCATATGTTAATCCTGCAAAAAAAAAGAGAAATGTTAGTAATGATTAATAATAAATGAAAAAAAACGTATGTTATGTTTGGTATCATCTGAAATGATTCATCACAACGGGTCCCATGATCTGTGACGAGCCACATGTGAGATCGCAGTAAATGAGAGCATAAAGAGTAAACTAAAGTCTTCATTTAACCTCACTGCTTTCTGAGATGAAATAACTGAGATGTTGGATATACATTTTTTTCTTGGATTTTTCCTGACAAAACAAGTAAAAACAGACTTAAATGTTACAATAGTTAAAGGTAGTGTTGTAGTCAAGACCACCTAACCTGAGACCAAGATAAGACCAAGACCAGAGTGTCGAGACCGAGACAAGACCAAGACTTTTAGGGGCCGAGACCAAGACCAAGACTTTTAGGGACCGAGACCAAGACAAGACCAAGACTTTTAGGGGCCGAGACCGAGACAAGACCAAGACTTTTAGGGACCGAGACCAAGACAAGACCAAGACTTTTAGGGGCCGAGACCGAGACAAGACCAAGACTTTTAGGGACCGAGACAAGACCAAGACTTTTAGGGACCGAGACCAAGACAAGACCAAGACTTTTAGGGGCCGAGACCGAGACAAGACCAAGACTTTTAGGGGCCGAGACCGAGACAAGACCAAGACTTTTAGGGGCCGAGACCAAGACAAGACCAAGACTTTTAGGGACCGAGACAAGACCAAGACTTTTAGGGGCCGAGACCGAGACAAGACCAAGACTTTTAGGGGCTGAGACCAAGACAAGACCAAGACTTTTAGGGACCGAGACAAGACCAAGACTTTTAGGGACCGAGACAAGACCAAGACAAGACCAAGACTTTTAGGGACCGAGACAAGACCAAGACTTTTAGGGACCAAGACAAGACCAAGACTTTTAGGGTCCGAGACCGAGACAAGACCAAGACTTTTAGGGACCGAGACCAAGACAAGACCAAGACTTTTAGGGGCCGAGACCGAGACAAGACCAAGACTTTTAGGGGCCGAGACCGAGACAAGACCAAGACTTTTAGGGGCCGAGACCAAGACAAGACCAAGACTTTTAGGGACCGAGACAAGACCAAGACTTTTAGGGGCCGAGACCGAGACAAGACCAAGACTTTTAGGGGCTGAGACCAAGACAAGACCAAGACTTTTAGGGACCGAGACAAGACCAAGACTTTTAGGGACCGAGACAAGACCAAGACTTTTAGGGGCCGAGACCGAGACAAAGACCAAGACTTTTAGGGGCTGAGACCAAGACAAGACCAAGACTTTTAGGGGCCGAGACCGAGACAAGACCAAGACTTTTAGGGACTGAGACAAGACCAAGACTTTTAGGGACCGAGACAAGACCAAGACTTTTAGGGGCCGAGACTGAGATAAGACCAAGACTTTTAGGGGCCGAGACCGAGACAAGACCAAGACTTTTAGGGGCCAAGACCGAGACAAGACCAAGACTTTTAGGGCCCGAGACCGAGACAAGACCAAGACTTTTAGGGGCCGAGACAAGACCAAGACCAGCGCCACACCCTACATGACACAATAAAATGTGAAACATGATCAAAAGAGATTGATCTGAAATCTACTCAGATTGATCTGAAAGATCCACATTCCCAAATAAACAGAGATATTTAACACTTAAAGCTGAAATAAACCATCTTTATTCAATACTCCCGGGTGACCACCATCATTTAATACAGAATGTAAAACAAGTGTCCACTTTTCTCCGCCTTTTATTAACAATACATGAACATGACAAAAATACATAATTAGCAATGACCAATGAGTCACATTATTGCTTGGATTTGAATCAGTACGTTTTACATACAATAAAAGCAAGGATGTTAACAAAAAATTAGTCAATATACTGGCAAATTAGTGCTATTTTCACAGTTATGGTCTTGAAAAAAAATCCTGAGTCCTCAATGTCCGAGACCAAAGAGACCATCAAGACCGGTCTCGAGTACACTAGTTAAAGGGATGTGAGGAAAAGGATATTGCTCAGAGACTGCTCTTTCACAGCTCATGAGACTTAATGGAGATCTCAGATGTGAGTATCAATTTCATTTTTAAAATTTCCTGCTAAATTCCTTAAACACAAAAGTTACAGTAAATGAATCCGAGTAGCATAACTCAGATCATTATGGTAATGTTTGATGAGAAATATCGGAGTTCATATTGAGATCTTTGACATTTGATTTCAGACTAAATCTGAGCACAGTTTAGAGATCTCTTCTGAAACTCTGAAGGAGGCACTGGCTCTTTTTCTCGGCAGAATAAACATAAGGAGACTCGAGCAAAGGTCTGCATTTGCTCTCCATTGAATATTATTGCTGTCCAGGACTAATTTGTCTGGTTTCCCCCCTTGTTTTTGTCTGAGAGAAAAAATGTGTGCTCAGAAGTTGCTCTTTTTTGCTCCATAGACATTTACAATAAGCAAAAATCTTTTCTCAGATGTTTCTCTTAAAATGTAATGAACACAAATAGGGAATTGTTAACACTTAATATTAAGAATAAATGTAGATAACGTATATCTCTATAATTTGATGAGAGATAGGCGCTCAAATTGAGATCTTTCATTGCTGCTTTCTTGGCAAATCCGAGCACAGTTTGAGACACTTTGAAATCTCTACTAAAACTTTATTGAGTTTACTGAGAAACCAACACAGTCTCATGAAAGTGCGTATCTATACCACCAATCTTATTTCTCGTGCCATTTATACGCCAAAAATGACCTTTGTTTTTGCTCATTTTTTCTGTTTGTTTGCAAGTCGAGTTTTCCTTTGCAAAGCAGATCGAGTTTGTTTGCAAAATGCCGGATTTGTTTGTTTAATATTGGCACATAATTCGCTCCATTCATTCGTTCTATAGATACAAACTTTAATGAGATCAGGCTCAAACCCATGCAAATGACTGCATTTGATCTCTATTTTATATCACCGATATATTGACATGATCTAATTGGTGATTTATTTTTCTCCAGCAGAAATTTGATTGCTCTCAAGTTGCTCTTTTATTGCTCGGGAGAGCCGTTTCATTACACAACAGTACAAATCAATTTAGTCTTTCTTAAAATTTCATGAAAAAATGATTTACTATAAATGAAAGTGGATTGCATAACTTCAAATCTGATGAGAAATATTTGAGCTCCTGCAGATCTCAGACTTTTTTTATTGCAGGAATCTCGTCAAATTCAAGCAGATATTACAAGATCTCTTACGGAAATCCAGAGATGTGCAACATGAAATGACTTCATTTCAAATCTCATTTAGTTCTAGATTGATATTAAAGAGTTGTTTCGCTCGTGTGTTCCAGATCTAGCTGTGCCTGTTGTAATTTTCCATGAAGCTCAGAGACACTCAAGGCTTTCTGAAAGGGTACAAGAGGAGGATGGATGTTGTTGGCCGACTGCTGTGATTGCAGTGTCTCGTCCTCCCATAAGGGATAAATATTGTGCCCCGCCTCCCTCTCAGAGAGTCTCCATACACACATCAGTAAGGTCATAGTGCCCTGACCACAATTACTGGCAGGACCCGAGCAGACCCTTTTTCTGCTGCAATAGGGACATAGTGATGGCTCCAGACTTCCTCCTCTTGTTCCCTCTTCATCAGGATCAGCAAAGTAAGATGTAGCAGGAGGGAGAGAATGAGGGGGCGAGTGAAAAATCCATCTATGGTGGTTTTCTATCCCGTGGCCCTAAAAAGGCAACTTGTACGGTTCTCCCGTGCTCTTTAAAAGCTCAGCTTGTGAAGAGGCTTTTAAGACCATTTCGTAGATTCCGGACTCTATTATTACCTCAGTTGTTTACCTCTTTACATCTAACAGTGTACCTGTGTGCTTCCACAATCCATTGATTTCTTTCAGTGCGTTCTCACTCTTTTAGGATGAGAGAAAACCGTCAGCACGAGGATGGGCTGGCTTTTGATACTCCCTCAGTGTGCTTTAAACAACGACTCGCAGAGAAATCCATGCTGACCATTACACCTCTCCTGTGAATTTAGGGAATCGTTCAACTAAAAACTCAAAATGTTCTCTCTTTTTGTTGTTCCAAACACTTTCAAAAGTAGTCATTTTCCATTAAAGTGAAGTAGAGCATTCACACTTGAGAAATGAAGCCATTGTGTCAGTGGGAGTCAGATTCATGTGGAATCATTTAGACGATTTTGTGAACTGGATCAATGATTCATTGCAACAATCTGACTCAAAAGAAGTATCCGTTCATGAATCAGACAATTGTATTGTAATTTTTGAATGAGGCATTGGTTTTCTGTAAAATAAATACATTATCTTTATTTTTTGGCGTGCCCACCCAGTCCATTAAATTTAGGCGTAGGAAGTATGAGTGATTTTAAACAGGATATGCTGAATAAGTCTGTCAAGCCAATCAAAGTAGAAAATAATTCAATTACAGGCCAAATTAACCACTCCCACACAACAAAACTACTGCTAATGGGCTGCAGCTTCCAAATAAAAAGAACACCGCTTTCCTCTACTCAAAGGCTTTGTGCAGAATTGAATACTGTTTTTTTTCAGAGTATATACTAAATGGTGTGCATGCAATTTTTTTAAAATATATGAATAAGTATCCAATATGATACTTGTTTTAAACAGTATGGTACATTGTTGTCACATATCCACATGGAATTGCATGTTTATTTCAGAAAGTGCCATCCATTTATCTCTGAAATAAATATGGTTATTTGTTTACTTAAAATATAACTTTATTTATTTTATATATAACTTTACTACAAATTTATTTTAAAAAATATTATTAAAACTCAATTAGGCCATATTTAGCCCTCTAAATAATCTAAAATCCCATAAAACTAGTCTGTCATTTGACCACCACACTATCAGCACCAAAGGGTTAAAGGAATAGTTTGCCCAAAAATTAACGTGTTGTTCATTCATTATCATTTACTCATTTACTCTTATCATTTACTCACCCACAAGTTGAACACAAAAGAAGATATTTTGAAGAATGTTGGTAACCAGA